TGGAATTTGTGCGGAATCTGAAACCGCTCACCCTTAGTGGGATTAAGTCGACATGCTCCGCTTTTCGCGTCTTTTTCTTCAATTCTATCCTTTCTCTCTCTCTCTCTCTCTTTTCTCAATCTTTTTTCCCTTTATTTCTCAAAGTAAAATAACGATTCAAAACATTCTAATTAAACACACGAGATATTTAATTACGATCGCCATGGATGATAATTACATGCCCTCTTTCGAAGGCAATCTTTGATTTCAACGTCCGAAACAGCTGTTGGGAATTGTACATCAATTCCAAAAAAATAACCAAAGCAAACGATCCTCACTAGCAGAATATAATAATAAAGAATATAATCAAAAAAACACACCAGAGAATTTGTTATCGAAGTTCATCCAAACCTGGGCTACGTCTCCGCGCAAAGGCACTCTGCGAATCCACTAAACTTCAAAGAAAGTAGGAATACAGTGATAATCTTCTCTCAAGATCGAGGCACAAAAAGATTAAGAACACTCACGAGGAAAAAAGTCATTTTTTCTTTTCTCTCTATTTTCTTCTCAGCGCTTGACAGCTAGCTTCTATCAATATCTGATATATAAAGTGTAACTTTTAACCTAAAAGCAAAATTAATAGAAAAGACAAAAAAGCCCTTAAATAATAATAGTTGGCTTCATCCTCCAACAGCAGCGCCATCAACGACAAGCCCCTTCTCCCCTCGTGTCTTCACAGGATGATCGCACGAGGTCCTCTAACTCTTTCTTCCTTCTTTCTTTATCTTTTCGTGCGACTGATTTACTGTAGTCGCCAATGAATCTCTCTCTCTCTCTCTCTCTCTCTCTCTCTCTCTCTCTCTCTCTCTCTCTCTCTAGTGGTCCACACAATCAAAGAAACGACACGTCGTCGCGAGAAAAAACACGGCAGCCCCGAGATGGCAAAGATGGGGCATGCCCTAAGCAACCGCACCATGTGAGTTGCAGATTTCGTTAAAAAAAAAGAAAAAAAAGAAAGCAAGCGTGATTAATCAATAATTATATCTACTAAACACAATGACACATCGATCGAGCAAGTGTTGGATCTACAGCACGCTCCGCTGAATGCTGTTTTGCTTTGTTGCATTCACAAGGGGGTCACGAACACGTTAAGAGGCCGTAATTGGTCGCGAGCTCGTCATAGAAAAAGAGCGATAATCGGGCTGGCATTCGATCCTTTTCGTGCCGCGAGAAAGGTGGTGACTTTGAGGAGAGAACATGTGCCGCCGCCGCCCACCTTATGCACCGCTTAATTCTTAATTAAGTAGGAAAAGGATGAAGAGTATCCTCGTTTAGCCTCATAAAAAATGATTTTGAGGAAAATAAAAATGTATATGTTTGAAATTTGGGTATTCTTCAATTGCCAAAAGGGTGTCGAAAAGTGCCTTTGTTTGTTTTGTTTTCGAGATTAGCTTAACTAGAGTGTCGGTGGCGCTTATTAGCCAAATCCTTGGATATTTTAGTTGTAAAAGTGCCCTTCAAATACGAGAGCTTTTGATTCTCAAAATCGTACTTGACAACGGATAAAATATGATTAGATATGTTCCGTGATCATCTCACAATCTCTCGGGACGATTGCACCCTCGACACGGCTGTGAGGAAACAAAAAAATATTGTCACGAACGTGCGGGCGAAAATAGAGCGAACGCAGAAAAAAAAAGAAAAAAAGAATAGGATGTGGTTCTCTCGGCGCTTGTCAAACATTATGTGACTTCAAGTTAGGGTCATGCTTATCGCTCGTCGATTTTATATGACGGGCAGCTCCGATGTAACCTCGGATAACGACATAACCCGCCAGTTCGGGAATTAAGAAAATCGCGCGAGGCCACAGGCTTGATCGCCACTAAAAAAATATTTACACGAGTGCATTCTTAACCCGCCACGCTCCCTCGAACTTTCGGGAAATTAAAAAAAAAGGGGAAAAAACCACAATCATCAGCATCGCAAATGAACAATTCGAAGGGCAAAAATTGGTTTTGGCCAACCACCCTAGGAACGAAGGGCCAGCAACACCGCCGCGTTCGTGCGGCGGAGCGAGCTCCACGGGTCACCTCGCCCGATGGTCCCCTCCTCCTCCTCCTCCTCCTCCTCATCCCTTCTCGAAAGGATAAAGATAGTTATGGGCTCTAAAGTAGCAGTCGAGAGTTCATTGCAAAAGTCAAAGTGGTGGTCTTACCTAACTCTAAAGGGGTCCAAAAAAAAAAGGAGAAAAAAAAAACTTGTGTACTTTTGATTCGTGGCGTCTTCCTCCCCGCCCCCAACATCACCGGAGGACGATGTTTGTTTTCGGATCGCCTTGCGTCTGCGCCAGGGAGAGAAAGTCCTCCCGTCGCTTTCCCTTTTGCCCACCCGATCTTATCCCCACCCCCACCCGCATGAATGCACGGTGCTTATGTCACGGTCCGGAGGTTTCCTCGGGGTGAGGATGCTTCGGACGAGCGGTTTCCACCCTGAAATTGTGAGCTGAATAGCGGTTTTCACCCTGAAATCGAGAACTGCTTATTAAGGATCGGTTTTTGAAGCCACTGGTCAACTTCCGAGCGGGTCAATGGAACCGATCCGCAATCCCTATAAAATTGCATTCATCAATCAATAAGAGACGTTAATCTCGACGAAGACACTCGTGAGAGGGGCGAGAAAGACTGTGGGGTAAATGGCAAAAGGCAAGTGAGAAAGATTCACTTTCACTGAAATTGAGCTAAAAAAAATTAAAAAATATATATATGTTGGTCGGATCCGAGTGGGCAGGTGAGTGATTTCACGCCTGAAACCTGGCATGTACTCACCGGTACCCGAAACCAGACAGTCTTCATGGGAATCGCCGGTTTGATTCGGTCTAGGTAGTTTTTGATTCTTTTGCACACTTCTACTATACATGAAGGAAAGGCCGCACAGGTAAGAAAAATGCTAGATCAACTGGCCTTGACACTTAGCTTCTCATTTTTATAACCCGAGGGAGCATGGTCATGATTAGTCGAGAACCTGGAGGCGAACTGGGCACGGCAACTCAACGCCGCGGCCGTAGTCAGCCGGGGGCTACCTCGGACATCTCATTCGGGACTTTATTGCGCCGATTCCGGAAGATACGGAGAGCACAATCGCATTCGTATAGAGTATTTGCAGATTCTGGTGTCGTTTTTCTCTCCTCCGAAGCTTGCGAATCGGTGAGCTTGACTACCAAATAAGATCCATCTCTTCACGATGCGTACATTTTCCGGCCTCCTTTTCGTAATCTAAAGGCACAATAATAGAAGCTCGATCGAAGAAATTGGACATAGAAATGAACGAAACTAAGCAAAAATAAATCCGATTACGCAACGTAGCATCATTAGGACATAGGAGCATCTACGACTCGACTAAGGTCTAAGAAATTGGACAGAAAGAATCTAGAACAGAACCCTAGCTCATTGGGTACACCCCACCACACGATTAGACGTAGACGAAGGTGTTCCTTCCGAACCGGCACCCGATTTTGCAGATGTTCGTTCCTTGTCTTTTCCTAATTCGTGAAAGCATCTCGCTGTGCTCATCATTTGAGCAGTATGTTTTTGCGAGTGTGGTCAATAATGAAGTGAAAAAAGCAGCATCGTAGAGGTACAAAATTAGTTGCCTCCAATCAAAACATGAATTATCCAAATTCGACTACCCACGCGATTGATTTGATAGACTATAGTAAAAAATGCGAAAAACAAATATTTGCCGGTCTAAATCCGCGTTATGAATGATCTCTCTTGAAAATTGCCATGGCAGGACATCTCTAAATTGGAGTATAACTATAATTAACATGATACACGTATTTATCGCGGAACTTCAATCCTTATCGTTTAAATTTTATTGTTGCCAACCGCGTTTCTAGCTCTTATGGCCTTTACTACGTCTACAGCCGCCACAGCAAGCCACAACCATCACGAGCCATACAAGCAACCCCTCTCTCTCTCTTTGGTACAGCTTAGCGACATCGACCTCTAGGTCTCGGACGCGATGCCTAACCAATTGAGATCTTGATGGTGGCGAAGACCGGATGAGTAGGAGGACAATGATAAGGTTACGCGAAGGATAGATAGGGAAGAGCATAGAGAGAGAGAGAGAGATAAAAAGAGGGGGAGAGATTGTTGAACTGCACTCTAAATTATAGTGATGAAAGCAATGGCGACTTGATGAAGCCAGTACGAACGAGCGAGTGACAATATTGGTAGGGTTGTGCAATTGGACTGATTGTACCCGAAAATCGGATCAAATTGCCTTGAAAATTGGTCCGGTTCATTCCAAGTTCTTGTTGGAACCGATTTGGTTCCAAGTTTTGAGTGAAGAACCATCGGGAAACCGGATTAGATTTGGAACTAATTTCATAAAGCCTAAAAATCCAACTTTTCCCTCTTGACATCTATTTCTCTTCTCTCTCCAATCTCACTCGGACATTTCACGGCTTTCTCTTTATCTCACGAGCGACTCACTCTCCTCCTCGCCCTTGCTCGTTCGAGTCTTGCAACCCTCACTCATTCCTGACTCGCCTTTGCTCGCTCGTCCTCGTTCATCTTCTGCTCGCTTTGTTGCTCATATTATTTAACCGTAAGAAAATGAAACCAAAAGAAGGAACAAAAGAAAACACAAGTTCTCAATAGACCCTGGAACTGTACCGGTGAAAAACAGGGCTGGTTTCAAAGCAAATAAAATTAGGTTTCGGGTTTTAAAAATCGATCCTCACACGGTAAGTTTCGGGTTTCAGGCCTAAGGCCTAGAACCTGTGCAACCATGGGAGACGGTAATTGAAGAGGGCGAACGAGACAGAGGATCAGCACCTCGTGGAAGCTACTATTGACCAGCGGGGGTCCACACGCGTACCGGTGCTCTCGCAGGTACGGAAACATTTCCCCATTTATCTCCTCCTATTTTTTTTTTTTTTTTCGGGTTAGAATTTTCTTTCACTTCTTTTTGTAGTTCTCTCTCTCTCTCTCTCTCTCTCTCTCGCTCTCCAAAGTTCACTCTCGAGCATCAGTCAGTAGCCCCACCACCACCAGTCCACCACCTCCACCTCCCCCCTCCCCAGCCGCACCGGCGATACCCGAAAAATTAAAAAAGAAAGAAAGAGGAAAAAACTTGTGGCTGGGGGAAGAAGAAGAAGAAGAAGAAGAAGAAGACGACGACGAAGAAGAAAGGCGCCGTTCATACCGCGACTCTCCGGCCTCTCTGCTCGGCCGCCGCGCACTTCGCTCGAGCTCGCATGCTTCGCCATCGCTCCGAGGTGCTCGGATCTCCTCCTGCCTCCGCCGCCGCCGCCGTCTCGATCGCCTGACGGAGAAAGGAGCCTCGGATCTCTGATCGTCGCTCCATTGCTCCCTCCGGCGAAGGAATTGAGTGCCCTGGATTCGGTTTCCTCCGCTTTCGCTCTTCCCGAAGCTACTCCAGCTTCGACCGCACGGTGCTTCTAGCCGAAGCGAAGCGGAGAATCAACAGCCAATCCGTCTTCAGGCTTTAGATCCGGAGATCGAGAGAGAGAGAGAGAGAGAGAGAGAGCGAAGCGCGAGAAGCGAGGAGGAAGCTTCCTCATGACGAGTGCTTCTCCTTAGAATTGCTTCTCCGGTGAACTCTTCTGCCTTTTTCCGGCTGCTCTGCAGATTCCGGCGAATCCGTCGCGTCTCTTCGGGAAACTCGTGATCCGCGGCGATTTTCGAGCTCGGCGAAGGGAGAATCGGATTGTTGTTTCTTTTTCGACGGTGCTTTGAGATGGAATCTGATCTTCGGCAGCAGCAGCAGCAGCAGCATCATCATCATCATCATCATCATCATGCTTTTCTGGATCACGGTCACGAGCCTCCGCCTCAGCAGCAGCAGCAGCACCAGCAACAGATGAGCTCGGGCTTGTCGCGTTACCGATCCGCGCCGAGCTCCTTCTTCGCGAGCTTGCTCGAGAGGGATTTATGCAACGAGTTCCTCGGCCGGCCTTCCAGTCCGGAGACGGAGCGGCTTCTCGCGCGGTTAATATCCGACAACCAAGACGAATCGGCGGCGGCGGCCCAGAATCTCGGTGGGTTCCAGCGGAGTCCGCCGCAGAACGAAGTGACCAATCCCCAACCGCAGCTCATGGAGCCGGTGAAGAGCGAAGCGAATGTCATTCCTCAGCAGCAGAGTAACTACTCTTCCGGTTCTTACCATCAAAGCTCATCTCAACCGCCTCGGCCAAATCGAAGCTCGGCCTATGGGATCGCCGGTTCGGATCGGTTGCCGCCGACGAAAGTTGGTGGTTCGAATTCGAATCTCGTTCGCCATAGCAGCTCACCTGCAGGGCTATTCGCGAACATCAACATTGATAACGGTATTGCGGTGCTATTTTTTCACGATGCTTTCTGTTGTGGTTTTCACTGTTTAGCAATGATTTGCAGAATTGATTCCACTATTCATGAAGCTGTGAATCGCAATCTTTGACTAATTTTCTGCCACAACTCTGGGGTTTCATTTGATTTTTAATTCTTACTTTAAGGAGTTGATGGAACAAGTTGCTGTTTGTCTTCTCTCACGCACGTTGAAATAAATTATTAGCAAGTTTTTCTCGTTTAGTACCTAGTTTTCTACTAGTTCTTTGGAACTTAGAGATCCGTCAACAGAAGCACAAAGCAAGCACAAAGCAAGCGAACTTGAACCTATAATTGACTTGGAATTGGCACAACCACACGTGAAAATTCAGTCCCTGTGAATGCTAGGTACTAGGAATTTTTTTTCTGGTCTCGTATTGGATATGCTCAAAGATAAGATTGCTTGAAAGGGCACAATCTCACGGAGAAAGGGCAATAACTGGTCTCCAAATTGCAGGCTTTGCTTCTATGGAGAGCGTAAGGAATTTTGTCCCTTGCAATGGAGCAAATGCAGAGGCATCCTTTTCTAATGCGAATAGGTTGACCAATCAGATGAGCAGCTACACATCCAGGCCCGCTTCTACCATGGGACATATGAGTCCGATTTCCGAGCTCGAAGATAAACGCATGGAAGGCTCCATTGATGAAGGTGCAGCTTTTGGTGAAGGTAACGCTAACGATTATGTTGCGGGTTATCCTATGAGCTCTTGGGAGGATTCGGCCAGCGTGTCTGAAAATTTTAATGGTCTGAAAAGAAGCCGAGATGATGATAAGAAGTTTTCAGGCTTGAATGCATCAGAATTGGTGGTACTATTTTTTCCCACGTGTGATTTCCCAACTTTGATGTGCATCTAGTGTAATGAATGAATTATTTTTTATGCTCAGAACGAGGAGGTTAGGAGCCGTCCTCCCATGGGTTTGACGCATCACTTAAGTTTGCCGAGAACTTCGGCAGAGATATCCTCCATTGAAAATTTTTTGCAGATGCAAGATTCCATACCGTGTAAAATTCGTGCTAAGCGAGGTTGTGCCACTCATCCTCGTAGCATCGCTGAGAGGGTAAGATCCATGCTCACTATTTCTTTATAGATTTTGTAAGAATCATCGCAAAGCTTAGGTTCGGTTTCCAGTATCTGAACAGTGACCGTGAGACGGTATCACCTATTCCAGTTTTAAAATTGGGCAGTTTTTGTGAACCTGGGAGTGTTTCTTCTGCTTGTGATCAGGTTAGGAGAACCAAAATCAGTGAAAGGATGAGGAAACTACAAGATCTCGTGCCAAACATGGACAAGGTAAAATTTTCATCTGCTCTTGCTGATGCTCACGAAAACTGATTTATGATTCACTCATTTGCACTCTGTCTCGGCAGCAAACCAACACAGCAGACATGTTGGATTTGGCTGTTGATTACATAAAAGACCTCCAGAAACAAGTTAAGGTAAACCCATTAATCCTTCCAAGTTCCCACCAAGTGCTTATGCATCTCATAACCTTCAAAATATGAAGATCACGGACGCTGTTGCGATGAAGATTTTTAATATGATGAACTCCTCGTGATTCTCTATCACAAACTTTTGGCAGGCCATGTCTGCGAATCGTGCCAGATGTATATGCCCCAACAGGCAGCAGCAATAATAGCACCAGATCCCAGGAAGGGAGACTCGTGTGCACTGTACAGAACTATAGGAGTTTGCAGGAAAGAGAACACTCTCAGAAAGCAAGTTTGGGCTCTCTTTGCAAGCGAAAAAGAAGATAGCAGTAGGTATGGTCAGGCGTGAAGATGAGAAGTAGGAAAGGAAAAGAAGGCTCTAAAAAGCCAAACCGAAACAGAACTTCGTTGGGTGCCCCCCCATATGGAAAGCAAGAGAGCCTGAAGAAAAAGCCTGTATGGTGTAAAGGTTGTTTTATCAAATTGTCTTTTCGTGCTGTGTATAGGTTGGGAAGTTCAACTAAGTTGCGGGTAGATCTTTGTATTTATTAAAAGTAGGAAGGAGAGAAAGAAAATAAGAGCCGGGGTGGGGGGGGGTTGTGGAAATAAGGTTTCGTTGTTAGTGTGGTCATCGATAATAAAGAAGAGAGATGTAAATCGATGGTTGGCGGAGGCATTAAATTTGGAAAGAGAAAGCAGATGCGGGGGTGTGGGCCACCCACGTTCGTCCCTCTCCCCGTCGCTGTTGAAGGGAGCACGAGCGAAGGCGACCGGTATAGGTAACCCCCCCCCCCCCCCAAATGAGCCAAAGTCGAGGTTAGATGCGGGCCTCAATCAGCCTCTGATGCGTCTTTGTTGTTATTTCCTCAATTGGCAAACTCTTTCTTGTAGTGTTATCTGCATTCCATGGTCTGTGTCCCGATGCTATCATGCGATGCTGGGTCGTTTAAATGATGGGATTTTGTCCTGTAATGTCCCCGAGTACCTGAACGGATGATTGCGAAAAAAAGGTTAAAAAGAAACAGAGGTACCAACCAGATCAGGGTCGGTAAAACTGGAAAAACTTTCACCTGATCCCCAAAAAAGGAAAATGACCCAAGTTCAACCAAAGATAATACCTGATCGAGACGCCTGTTAGTGGCATACCCGTCATGCTTGCGTCGGCGTTGATGGTTTCTATCCATTTCTGCCGGGATTTATCATTTTCCAGTAGGTCCCTTCTTCGTTTTTTACTGTTTTTACAAATGAGCTAAGCATTGGAAGTCTTCACGTCAAAGGAAGCAGACAAAAATGGGATCGGTGGAAATTGACGGGAAGGAATTTCATGATTACATTCATAGCGTTCCAATGGGGGGTAAAGATATTACTCTTACGGCTTAGCATGGGATGTGCCCAGTAATATCATGAGATTGTACTAATCTAGTCAATCTCAGGTGACTTTACGTAGTAAGAGGAGGACTAGAGTAAAAGACGGAGAGAGAGTACTACGACTTCTTCGTGATTTCTGCCGAAACATATCTTTTTTTTTTTTTTTTTCGCTCATGAGGTGGTTGGCTAGCTTAGTAATAAAAAATCGACTGTATTTCACGTGATCCCAAGTTTGATTCATGTTATGAGTGAATCCTTGAAATACTTGTGTCGCGATGCCTAGTTGTCATATCTCGTGTGAAGAAAATTTCTAGCTCATGAGGTGGTTGACTTAGTAATAAAAAATCGATTGTATTTCATGAGATCCCCAGTTTGATTCATGTTATGAGCGAATCCTTGAAATGCTTGTGTCGCGATGCCTAGTTGTCATATCTCGTGTGAAGAGAATTTCTAGCCGCTAGAAACACGATAGAGTTATAGTAATGAGCTCGTTGACCTCAAATCTTGGGGTGATGCGAACCAATTACGAATCATTTCGATTTTGAAACAGGTGTTGGACCTTCATGATAACACCTAAAGGGGTCATTGTCGCTAATCGTCCATCTCTGTCTTTTCACTCATTAAAAAGAAAATTTTTTAGGGTCGATGTCGCTAATCGTCCGTCTCTATCCTTTCATTCTTTAAAAAGAAAATTTTCTTCTCTATACGAAACACGAGGGGGGAAAATATTACATAAATTTGATCCTCCATGATATTGTCAATCTATGACGGTACAATGGATGATGCTCGCGCATCATTCACAGTTTTGCACGAACGATAATGTTCCCCATAAAAAGGGATCCGTGCAAGTGAATCCCACGCAAGTGATGATCTCATATCCCCATCTCCCATATGAAAGGAGGAAAAATTATGCTTCTTCCTCATCCCTTTAGAAAGGACACCAGGGCTTTCCGCATACAGAGCGAGAGAGACGGACACAGTGAGAGGCTGACTTATTCGAGTCATTGTGATACACAACTTTCGCATGGTGATGGGGGTGGGACCGTTGGATCCAACTTTGGTCTCGTTGCGCTTTGATTTTGGTCGGGACGGAAATAAGAGGTACTCCCATAGTGATGACACATTTAGTGAATATAATTAACCTATCTATGATCAATTTACTGATATATGGATTAAGAAATGGGTTTATGACCCATTTTAACAAGTCTAGTTATCGCGAATTGTGTCTTGCATCGTGTCTTCACATTGTGAGTTTCTCCCATTGTAAGGTAAGGTCTGCTAGTAAAGGTAGATCGGAGATAGACGAAGTCGCGAGGCTTGCCTTAGCAAGTCAAGCTTAAAATCATGGTGTGAGACTAGAGCAGTAAAGGCTGCCCTTAGCCTCCGCACATCTCGAGTATACGATAGATACACCGCACGATAATAGTAATATAGGAGAAAATTGTTTAAAAAATCATAAACTTATTGCATTTTTGCCAATCCAATCATAAACCTTTTAATTTTGCTCATTGAGTCATGAACATTTTTACAATTTACCAATTGAGTCCATCCGGTCAATTTTAGTCGGCATTTGCTAACGTGGACACCGACTGTCCTACATAGCACAGCCAGAGCTGACGTAGACAATTTGTAATAATATTTAATATTCTTTTTTTCTTTCTTTTTTTTTTTCGTTTCTTCTTCCTCCTCTTGACGATGACCGTTCACCAGCCACAAGGTGATGGCCGACCACAGGCCATCACCTGGCAGGCTGGCTTCGCCTGAGCGAGGGATCCTCTCGTCACATCTGGCAAGGCCACCCTGGCGTGGGCAAGGGCCAGCCGGACCGACTCTAAAAGAGTAAATAACATGAGAATGGTTATTCGATAGTTATATATAATTAAATACATGAGTAAATTGTTAACAAAAGAGAGGGTGGTAATCCCACTGTGCACATGAGGGAGATAGTTAGATATAAACCTAATACACTAAAAAACCTTCAGTTTTAACTTTTATCTAAACTTTACCTTTTGTTTCGTAAAAAACCTCCAACTTTAGGTCCAGTCCCAATTTTACCAAAAACTTTTTTTGGTCCCATTAAAAACCTTCAACTTTAGGTGATGCCCCAATTTTACGCTAAACTTTTTTTTATCCTTGAAAAACCCCCAACTTTAGATTTTGTCTCAATTTTACCATCTCGTCCCAATTTTACCCTAAAATTTGTACAGTTTCATAAGAAACTACAAACTTTTACTTAAGTCACAAATCTGCCCGCAATAACCCTTCGTCCAAAATTTCTTGTTGATAATCGAGATACCGAAAACTTCCAAGCACGAGCTGTTCGATCATCCCAAGCGTAAGCTCTCCAACCAAGCATGAGTTGCTAAAGCGTCCCAAGGGCCCAGCTCTTCGACCTCGAGAGATGGAACATTCTTAAGCACGAAAGATCGATTAGCACAAAATCACTAAGGGAGATTTTGACTTGGGGTTAATGGAGAGCAGATTTGGGACTCAAGTAAAAGTTTGTATTATTTTATGAGACAAAAAAAAAATTAGAGTGAAATTGAAACTGGACCTAAAGTTGGGATTTTTTTATTAGACAAAAAAAAATTATGGTGGAATTGGTACTGGACCTAAAGTTAAGGGTTCTTTATGAGATGAAAAAAGTTTAGGATATAATTCGGACTAAATCTAAAGTTGGGGGATTTTTACGAGACAAAAAAAAGTTTAGGCTAGAATTGGGACATGGGCTACAGTTGGAGGATTTTTATAAGACAAAAGGTAAAATTGGGACAAAAGTTAAAATTGGAGGTTTTTTAGGGTATTAGGCCGTTAGATATATGAGGGAAATGGTTAATAAATGCTCGATTTATATAGTAATTAGAGGGTAATCCGATCAATTAATTTAAGAAGCTGTATTTTGGTTGAAAAAAAAGAGCGCGGAAATAGTCTGACTTGTCATTTTCAATAGCTAATCCGAGTGATTAGCCCCGGAGTGATTAAACTTGAGCCCAAACGCAGAACACGTTTTGTGGGCTAAGCTCCACAGGCATGCTCTAGTGATGGCGAATTGGCCAGCCCGATTCATGCTTCGACCAAGTCCCGTCCTACTAAAGGACCGTGTCGTGCCGTGCCACATCGTGCCGGTGTCTCGCGTGCCCAATCGCGCCTTGGGCCAGGCCCGTTTGACGCGTCTCTTTTGCGAATTTTTACCAACGAAATGAGAAGGAAATTAAATCACACATTGTGAATGGAACTTGCTAGTCATGGCTCTTCTAAGGTCGTATGCATCGATAATCGCTTGCCTTATATAAGGACAAGCAGCAATGCCATTGAAAAGGAGACCAGTCAGGGACAAGCGCTTGCAAATGGGTGGAGCTGTTTCCACTCTTTTACTTTTTATATTATTTTACTTAAAACTAGAGACTATCCTTCGAATTAAGCTAAGCATGTATTGATGTTTAATTGCATAATTTTAGGCAATTGCGATTCACAAATTGATACTTTCTTATATCGGTTTATTTCAAAAATATTCCATAAGATAGAGTAAGCTATTCTTCTCAAAGTGGACCTCATAAGATGTGCATTTAGTTAGAAACTCAATTTATGATTTATTTTGTTCCGTTCTTCTTATCTAAAAACCACAGAGGCTATCGAGATAAATAAACATAATAAAAACGAGAAGAAAAATCGTAATTGAACCTTTTTATTATCTAAACACGAGGAAAGTCAGTAATACGGTTCATAATCCTGTAATTCAGGATGACTATGTACATGCAGAGAGAGAGTAAGTTTTTTTTTTTTGAGAAAATATGAGTTTGAAAATGAAGAATTGTAACTAGGTTTGACTCTTCATTGGGATCGCTTAAAACTTAGACAACAACATAAACGGACGATGTCTTAATATATCACATGATAACATCATACTGTGAACAAATCAATGGCCCTGAACTTTTTAATTTGTTCAATGTAGTTTCTAAGCTTTTGACATATGTTCAATTTAGTCTCATGTTCTGAACTTAAATTAATACAAGAACAATATTTAACATTTTCCTATGGTCCGGGGACTAAATCAAACATCTACAAAAGTCCAGGGATTACGTTGAAGAAATTAAAAATTCAGGGACTACATTGCATATCGGCTCAAAGTTCAGGGACCATTTGCATCATCATCCGCGATCTTAAAAAACGAAGCCAATTTAGTCAATTCACTAAAAAAAAAGGCTGTGTTTAAATTGAAAAGGTATTAACATACCCAAAAATCTAAAGAAAGCAAGTTGATTAATGTCGATATTTGAAATGCATATGGGCATCACCCCCAAATAAATTCCCCATTTCCAAAAAATCTAACTTAGGCAAGCGCATTGGATTTATATCCACATTTATTAGCCCATATTTTGGTAAGTTGGAAAAAAAAAAAAAAAAAGAAACCACATCCCAATAAAAAAAAACAGAGAAAATTTCTTTTAGGGGGGTCAGAAAAAGAAAAAAAAACATCATAAAATAGGAAAAACCCACAGAATTCCAACACGTGGCGCGCGAAAGCAGGACACACCTCCAACGTTCCATTCCCGTTTTGAACTTTCCCTCCCAAAAAGCCGAAAAGATTTGAATTGAATCCCGATCGCTTGCGTTTCGGAGGAATTTGTCTCCATTCGATTTCGATTTCGAGTTCGATTTCAATCCACAGTCAATTATTTGGCCACGCATCTCCCATTCCGATTCCGATTCAGCCCTCCCTCCTCCCTCCGCCGCCCGCCCGCCCGCCCGTGCCATGGAAGAGGCGGACTCCGACCCCGACCTCGGGTTCGGGTCCGGCTCCGGCTCCGGATCGGTCCCCCCGGCGCTCGTGTCCCTCGCCCCGTTCACGCCCGGGCCATCCCCCGCGGCGCGCCGGCTCTCGAGCCAGTTCGCCGAGCCGGGCCGCCCCGTCCCCGCGGCGCGCAGGCTGGCGTACGTCTCCCTCCAGGGGCGGCTCGTGAACGCGGAGGAGGCGACGTCGGCCCGGGCGATCGGCGGCGGAGGCTTCCTGGGCCGGGAGGAGGCGGCGGCCTGGGAGCTGTTCAGCCCCGTCCAGAGGGTGCTCCTCGTCGCCGTCATCGGCGTGGCCGTCGCGGAGTCGAGGAAGAATCGGCTGATTTCGCAGCTCAGAAGCTCTGTGGAACTTAGGGTATGTGATTTATTACGAAATTCATTGGAGATTATCATCCTGTTTGGGATTTCCTACGTTGTGGATTAAGCAAGCTCTGATTGATTACGGCAAAGCTCTAATTTTTAGGGCATTTCCAAGGGCCTTTCAGCAATCGCTATCTTCTCTTTTAACCTGCATAATGAATTCATCTTCTTTTCAGCTCGATGCGCTTTCTCTGAGTCTGTCATGTGAATTTGCTTGTTTTCACTTCGATGACTAATCTTTCAGGATCAGATTCTGTCGAGCATGCAGCAGAAGCTTGACAATTTGTGCCAGCAAGTCCATAATGTCAAGGACCGGGAGGGAAATGGGGCGGAAGCATCCGTTGCCAAGAACTTTGGGTTCCCGTTTGACGCAACCTTCGAATCGAACGGGATCGAATTTGTCGATTGCGGTTGTTGGTTATGTGATCAGCACCACAAACAGTTTGGTGGACTGATGGTAAGGGAAAAGTTGAGCTGCATTCTTTCTCTTTTTTTTATTTTTCAGGGTGCGTTTGGAGTTGGGTTTGGGAAGGTTTATCATCTAGCCTGGTGTTAAGTGTCGATTACAAGTAGCGCGACATGTAGCATTTTGTCCGATGAACTAATTGTTAGTCGTGAATGAATGGTCAGTCGTGCTCTTCCAGAATGACAAAACGGGCACCGTGGCATCTTGGTGTCGCGATGTGATATGATTTTAACAATCATAACTGTTGCTGAGGAAGCGGATTTCGTACAAAAGCTCAATTTTACCCTGGAGTCACATTTTTCAGTTCCATATTCACTTTAATTAGGCAGACTGCGCGCATGATGTTCCTGTGGTTTTCTTTTATGACTCTTTTCCTTTTTTGTGGTTCGGGCCATAGAGTAATTCTATTATGAGAGTTTCCAATGGGAGTGATATCCAACAGTCAAAGACGACCTTCACAGAAGAAGCAGAACCAGAGGAACGACGCATGTCTGACTTGTCGGATTGGGCGTCAAGTGTGACATCTTCAGCTGAAATTCAGGTGGTGAACATACATACAGTTTCTTTTCTTTGGTTTTAGTCTCTAATGCTTTTATATTGTAACTGCTTTTTGGGTTAGATTCTTGTTAATTATAGTCTGTGTAATCATAGCAATTTTAGTTTATTTCTTAGTTTGATTTGAAAGCTTCGTCCCATGCAAGCTGCAGATGGAGTTTTCTGAAATATGCTTTAGTTGTCATACAATTCTCATCCTCCTTAATTTATTAAGGATTTCCTAGCATGATCAATTCAAAGCGGTGGATTAAAACATATTTAAATTTGTGCATTTTCAGCATCCTTTCAGGCAGAAGTAATACAAATATGATCCGTTTGATCTACTGTCTCCCTAGCCTTCTAGGCGTGGCAATGGAACGGCCAACTTTTATGACAATGAATCTAATGTGGGTTTTCTTACAGACAAATGCTATGGCTATAGAACAAGACGTATACAATCTGAAGAGAGAGTGTGAAGAAAAGGACGCAACAATAAAGGAGCTCACTGGCTTTCTGCAATCATGTGATGCTGCTGGCTCCAAGGCAAGTTCTCTTCTTAACTTACCGCTTCTGTCTTTTCTCTTAAAGTTCCTTCTTATGATTATTAAGATTTTTCATGATACCAGAGGATTGCAGAACTTGAAGACGTTATACGCAGGAAGAATGTGATAATTACAAAGCTCAGGAAGGACATGGTAATTCTCGACCAAAAGGTGAGATACTGGTGCTTAAATTCTGTGTTATTTCTTGGGAATACTAGGCAAGAAAATAAGGATATGCTGCTGGAACATTTACATTCTATTTCAATGTCTTTTTGTTAAGAGATGAGAATAAGGAATCAACTGACTACTCCTTCCACTGAGCCTTTTCTTCACTGCATGAATGAGATCTTATGTTGAAAGTTTTAGGTCTCCACAACTAAATAACAAATGAACCGATACACATGTCACAGCTCAATGTTAGATAGGAATTGATTCCGGACAGTGAACAACTGAAATTACTCTTTTGCAAAAGCCGAAGAAGTCTGACATAGAAATTAATATTCAGGCGTTACTGAGGTGCGTTGTATTTGAATTACCTCAATTCTGTCATATGCAGGTTGTTCAACTCACAAGATTGCGAAGACCCTCTTCGCAAATAGATACCAATACAAGCACCAGACAAATCCCTGTTATGGCAGATAATCTCCTTTATGACATGGACAGTTCAACTAGCCCTTCCTCTTCTGATTCGGATAGCTCTCCTAAAACCAGACCGCAAGCGACCATTGTCAAACAGCAGGTGACACCAGCAGAAAAATGTGGAGATGCTTTGAGGAAAAACGATAATTCGGTAGCGGAAAAGACCTCAAGTTTCTCGATGAAATCAGTTGTTGGTCGAACCAGGTCTAGATCAGTAAGTCCTCTTAAGGAGATTACGACAAATGATAAATCAAGTAAGATCTCTTCGGAGCGGCAAAGGCAGCTGTCGTCGGCTGGAGGAGATTCCAAGAGGAATAGGAAGCAAACTAATACTGGATCGAAGGATGCGATCACTAGGAAGCGATGGTCTTAGTGAAAGTTTTAAAACTTGGACCAATTTGTTTTTTTAGTGCTGGTAAAAACCAGTTGAATAATCTAGTTAAGCGTCTTGCTGAACCGGTCGACATTATGAATTATTCAAAGCAAGAGATATCTCTCTATCTGCAAATTCTAAATGGCAAGTTGTGAACCAGTTACAATCTCTGCAATCTCTAAAGGCTTTCTCTTGCAAATTTTGTAATACTGCCTCAGGGAAGGATCACCAGATGCGGCTTACATCAGATTTGTCGCGGACGACACTGTAGTATGAACATCTAGGGTGGATGGATAAGTCATTCTCCACAGTACATGCGTTGATCGAATCATATATGCTTTCATGAGGCTGATCGAAGTCAGCAACATAAGAACAGAAATCAGAAGCCTTAGAATTTCGATTAAATGTTTGGTAAGTCATCTTTTGTTAAGTACTTCTTGGGGTGTTTAAATCTTACAGCATTAAATATGAACCACTAGAATCTTTCCAAATGTACAAATAAGTGCATTGGAAGTCCTAAAACTTATCACGAAAGTGCAATTGAGTCCTAAAACTTTTCACAAATATTGGATTCCTTTACTTTTTTTTCATTACTTAATATTTTGACGTTTTCTAAAAAACAAAATCCTCTTTTTTAATTCAAAACTGGAACAAATTCCATGGCCCAAATCTTGTTCGGCCTAAAGTGAGTGTAGTAAGGTCCCGTTTGGTTCAGCATTCGGCCTAGTATTGGCCAAATGCTAGCATTTGGAATGAGGAAAGCCCAAAGCTGGTCCGGACCAGCTTTGGGCTTTCAGCATTCCACAAATGCTGAACCCGAATTTTATGTCTCCAAACTACCCTCACTTATTTTGGCTTATTTCGGTTTTGCCTCTCTTGCTACTGTTCATGAGGTGGCCAGCGAGGGCGGTCGACACCGGATCGGGCCGGCGAGGTCGCGCGACCCAGGCGCCGGCCGCCTGGGTTGCCTGGCCTCGGGCGACTACCGCCGGCGGCAGATCTAGCTTGTCGGGGGTCACCCGACCTCGGACGACGGCAAATCTTCCTAAGTCACTATTCCACATCACGATAAGACCCACCAAAAAAATGGCGTCCACCGCTCCTCCGCCGATGATTCTTGGCGCTAATTCAATGATCCAGCCGGCGAGAACAGCTCGCGTTTCGCCGCCGTCCTCCGTCGGCGGATCGTTTGTCAACCGGGCGTCGATAGCCGGCGGCGGCGGGGCCGAGGCGAAGAAGAAGAGGGGGAGCCTGACGGTGGTTGCGGCGGTCGGAGACGTCTCGGCCGACGGCAATGTGTACCTAATCGCGGCCGCGGCCGCGGTGGCTCTGGTCGGAACCGCCTTCCCAATTCTCTTCTCCCGCAAGGACACGTCAGTATTCCGAATTCCGAAGATTTTAGCCTTTATGAAACACTCAAAACCTCTCGAAATGTATAAATATCGGATTCACTTGTTGTTTTTCTTTACTCGATCTTTTAACTTTTTTTGAAAACAAAATCTTCTTTTCAAATCAAAACCAGAACAAACTACACGACCCAAATCCTTTTCAGCCCAAAGTGAGTGTAGTGAACATAGAAAAAAAGATGCTCTCTCTCTCTCTCTCTCTCTCTCTCTCTTATGCATTTTCCAAAATCTTGCGGTATTCAATTTGAAACACTTGGAATCTCTTCAAATGCACATATATCGGATTCGTCTGCTGTTTTTCATTACTTGATCTTATGACATTTTCAAAAAAAAAAAAAAAAAAAATTCCTTTTCAATTCAAAACCGGAACAGATTACACGGCCCAAATCCTGTCCGGCCCAAAGAGTAAAACGCGGTAAAATAAATGCTCGCTCTCTCTCTTTAACGCATTTTTTTGTTAAGCACTTCTTTGGGAGTTTAAATCTTGCGGTACTCAATAAGAAAACACTCGGGATCTCTCCAACTATACAATATCGGATTCGCTTGCTGTTTTTCATTACTTGATCTTTTGACGTTTTCTGAAAACAGGATCTTCTTTTTAAATAAAAAACGGAACAAATTACATGCCCCAAATCCTGTCCGGCCTAAAGCAAGTGCAGTGAACACGGAGAAAAGCAAATGCTCTCTCTCTCTCTCTCTCTGTATGAGGCATGCTTCATTAAGTACTTTTTCTTTTGGGGCTTAAATCTTTCAGTTTTCAATTTGAAGCACTCGGAATCTCTCCGAATATACAAATATCCAATTGGCTTGCTGATTTTTTTTATTAGGAATAAGTCTACTAAAAGTCCTAAAACTTTTAATTTCCGGTGATATCGTAACGACCCAGTCCGATGAGGGCGGGGAGTGGTCGCCGGGGCCAGAGGGCCTAGACAAGGAGCGGCTCCTGGTAGGCTTTTAAAATGGCGAAGGGGGCAAGAATGAACCGAACTGTGCACCGAACAGGAGGAGAGAGATCTTGAGATATATATATGTGAAAACTAGAATTAACTCACGGAGGCGCCTTTTGACGTAACGGCAAGCTTTGCTTTGAACTCCAAAGTTAAGCAAACTCAGGCTAGAGTACTATCAGGATGAGTGACCTTCTGGGAAAGTAACTGCTTGTACGCCAAAGGACAAAACCGTGAGGCTCGATATGGGACGAGCCAAAGCGGACAATACCTCGAGTGAGTTAAATCCAAGGTGTCACAATATGGTATCAGAGCGGGATCCCCTCTAGTAGTATAGTATCAGAGCGGGATCCCCTCTAGTAGGTGTATGGTTCGAGGACGAACTATGCGGAAGCTGGTGGGTCTGTAATGACTCGGTCCGACGAGGGCAGAGAGTCGTCACTGGGGCCAGAGGGCCTAGACAAGGAGCGGCTCCTGATAGGTTTCTAAGATGGTGAAGGGGGCAGGAATGAACCGTTCTGTGCACCGAACATGGGGAAAAAGATCATGAGATATATATGTGAAAACTGAAATTAACTCACGGAGGCGCCTTTTGATGTAACGGCAAACTTTGCTTTGGAACTCCAAAGTTAAGCGAGCCCAGGCTAGAGCACAACCAGGATGGGTCACCTTCTGGAAAAGTGCCTGCTTATACGCCAAAGGACAAAATCATGAGGTTCAGTATGGGATAGACCAAAGCAGACAATACCTCGAGTGAGTTAAATCCAGAGTGTCATAGATATCGAGATGGATCTTGGCCATTGATGAGTAAGGGGGCGTTTGGCAATTTGCCAAATAGTGATAATTTCTATTCTTTTGTTCCCAGAATCAGTTTGGGAACAGAAATCCGTTTGTTAAAATTTTTGTGCCCGGGCGTAAATTTGCAAAAAATTGTTCCTAGAATCAATTTTGGAAGAGAATCAAGAAGCAAAAAAAGAACAGCTTCTTGATTCTGGAACAATTTTTCCATTTATGATTCTTCTTGGTTTTCTTCTTCCTTTTTTATTTGTTCTTCATCTTCTTCCCGGCCCGCCCCCGGTGGCCGACCACCGGCGACTAGGGGTGTCAATGGGTCGGGTTGGGTAGGGCTTTGATGATACCCAACCCGACCCGAACCCTATAGGGTCATGCTTGACCCGCCCCGCCCCGCCCCGACCCGAGACCCTTTTTGGCATATAAACCAAGAGAAGGGTCGGGTCGGGTCGGTCCGGATCCGGTTTCATGGATTGTGGGTTGGGTCAATATTTTGGAATAAATCAATAAGATAAAAAAAATAATAAAAAAATCAACATGAAAGCGACATTTCTCTTTTAGGAGCTTGGAATCATCTGGACTTCCGTCTGTGCCTCCTCCTTCTTCTTCCCCTCCTCGTTCTCTCTCTTCGATGAATTTCTCCATTGAAGACGACTTCTACAAGACAGCGCAAGTGAAGAAGGAGAAAGCTCCCGCCTTTCGTTGTTCCCTTTCCATGGAATAGCAACAGTCGCGATTGCTTGCGTTTCGCGCTTCGCTACGGACATAAGCAGCCCGGTGGTGGTGTGACTTGTGAGGGAGTCAACCAAGCTCTCGAGCGTCGTCCCCAAACTTCCCGAAGGTTCTCGCTGGCTAGGGTTTCTGTGTTCTTCGTCCAATCGATGTTTCCCTGCTCTCGAGTTCCTCCTCGTCGGCTGGTGGAATCGGCGAAAGGATTGGCGCAATTGGAGCCAGGTTCCACTTCCCGAAGCGGCGGCCATGCGAAGTGGAGCTGAGGTTCGGGGAGTGGGAAGAAGGGCGGAGCAAGCGAGCGTGGGGGGTGGGGGCTCGACATGGTAATTGGGTTCTGAGGATGCCGAGCTTTGTTCCAGGGAATTCCATGTGAATCTCTCCCTCCTTCATGTGAATCTCTCCATCCTTCGGTTTAATGATGGGTAAGCTAGTTGGATGAATCAGAGGAAGAGAACTACTTTTGGCCCTAATGGTGTCAAAAAGCCAATGCGGGCCAGGCCCGACCCTACCCTAACTTGACAATACCCACACCTAAAAATAGTACCCCAAGCAGACTAAGGCTCGATCTAAAAATACCCGAAATTTTAGAATAGGGTCGGGATGGGCCGGGTCGGGCCGGGCCGGCCCGGGCTTTTTTGACACCCCTACCGGCGACCGGCCAGGGCCGGCGAGGGTAGCCTTCGCCGCCCCTAGCGAGGCCAGGCGAGTCTCGACCTCTTTGTCATATGGCTAGGCCGACCTCGCCGTTGCGACCGGCGAGGGCCGTGACACCCTCGCCGGCCCTGGCCTGTGGCTGGTTGTCGGCGCCGGCAACTGGCCATGGCCAAGGAAAAAAAAGAAAGATATATTAAAAAATTCAAAATATTATTAATAAAAAGAAATTTTGTGTAGTTATCAAACGCATTTATGTTCTTTTTCTATTCTAAGAATAGAAATTTTGGGCAGTTACTAAACGCTTTCAAATGCTTAGAAATTATTTTCGGGCACAGAATCAAAAAGAATCATTTATGAGCAGAATCAGTTCCCGGGCACAGAATTGTTGTCATGCGCACTCTAAGAGTTAAAAACTCACTTGTGTATTTGGGTGAGCTACTATGTGGTATCTACGCATAATGAAATAATAGGCCATCAACCTGCATTTGAGTGAATAATGTTATGCAATGTTGTTAATAATTTTTATCAACATATCATGATAGGGAAGACAATGTATTTACTTATGCAATTATCATACATTGTTATTTTGTACTTATTTTGAACTCACGTTATTTGTTGGTACTTGGTTGAGTAATAAGATGATGTTGTACATTAGATTTTAAGATTTTATTTACTGGGTTTCGACTCATTCCTTTATTTTTCATATATAGAGGATGGATCCTCACTACTTTTTGGAGCTAGTATTTTGATTGTGAATATCAAGATAAGCTTGTACCTGAATCGTCGGGAAAATTACAAAAAAAGTCATAAACCTTTTGCAATTGTGCCAATTCAGCTCTAAACCTTTTTTTTTTGGCCAATTCAGTCCTAAACCTTTTGCAATTGTGCCAATTTAGTCCATCCGGCCACTTTTGGCCGGCCGGCGCTGACGTGGACGCCGGCCGGCTGACGTGGCAATTTTTAATAATTTTTTTAATTATTTTTCAAATTTTTTTTTCTCTTTTTTTTTTCGCCTATCTTCTTCCCCGGTCGCCGGTCCGGCGACCGGCGAGGTCCAGCTCGCCGGCCATGGGCGAGGCTGGCCCTCGCCGGCACTGGCTAGGGCCAACCTCGCCGTCGCTGGGCGAGGTCGACCTCGCCATGGCCAGGGCGAGGTGGACCTCGCCGGATCGGACGAGGCCTCGCCGTCGTCGGGCGAGGCCTCGCGTCGCCGGGTGAGGCCTCGCGCGCGCCGGCGAGTCGACCTCGCCATGACCGGGCGAGGCCTCGCCGGCGACGGCGAGGCCGCCCGGATCTGGCGAGACCTCGCCGTCGCCGGGCGAGGTCGAGCTCGCCGGGCCATGGCGACGGCGAGGTCTCGCTAGATCTGGACGGCCTCGCCGTCGCCGGGCGAGGCCTCGCCCAGATCTGGTGAGGTCGACCTCGCCCATGGCCGGCGAGCCGGACCTCGCCGGCCTCAACCTCTCGCAGGTCGCCGGACTGGCGACCGAGGAAAAAGATAGGCGAAAAAAAATTCGAAAAATAATAAAAAAATTATTAAAAATTGCCACGTCATCCGACCGGCGTCCACGTCAGCGCCGACCGGCCAAAAGTGGTTGGATAGATTGAATTGGCATAATTGCAAAAGGTTTAGGACTGAATTGGCAAAAAAAAAAGGTTTAGAATTAAATTGGCACAATTGCAAAAGGTTTAGGACTTTTTTGGTAATTTTCCCCTGAATCGTCAATAGTTCTATTGTACTGGTTGTCGTGGGGTTGCTAGAGTGGGTTCCCATCGATTAGGGGTGAGCAAGATAGAACGCCCAAACCGGGACCGGACCGACCAGTTTGGTCCGGTTCTTGAGAATATTGGTCTGGTTCCCGGTTCCTAAAAGTAGAACCGGCTTCCGGGCAGTCCGGTTCTCCGTTCTAAGGTAGGAACCGGACCGACTGGACCGGACCGGACCGATAAATATATATTTTTCTAATTTTTTCATATATATATATTTATTTACTTTTTAAATATATATTTAAATAACAAAAGAAGCAGTTGATAGTTCATTTTTATTCGATTCCAATGGGACCAACCCAAAAATGCTTTCATATATTGGTCCCGAAAATGCTTCCCGGTTCCCTCTTGCCTTTACCAATTGGTCCCATTGGAACCGGACCAACGGTCCGGTCTGGTCCACGGTCCCAAGATTAGCCGGTCCGATCCCCGGTCCTAGAAACTAGGAACCGATCCTCCCAGTCAGGTTCCCGGTTCTTGGGTTGGACCGGACCGGACCAGGAACCGCTCACCCCTACCATCGATTTGTCGCTTGGTACTTCAACATCGGCGGTAAATTAGTTGAACTAGTAAGGGGCTTCGAAGTTCCTGTTGTTTTCGACGGCGATGCATGTCGATGGGCAAGGCTTTCGAAAATCAATAGTAAGGATTGGACCAGATTGTGCAATGAAAGTGGAGACGTGTTTTTGTGTAAAAGGTTTTGATGTATATTCATCGAGGTCGAATTATTTGTACAATTAAGGATAAATTAGTTATCTATCGGAGAATTGAAGCGAAGTTAAATTATATACTCATTTGAGATTCAAATTTTATGGAAATTCGGGTCGTGGCATAATTAATTAAGAAAAGCCACATTGGAATAAACATTTAACTATAAATGACGCGTAGAACTTTCGGTTACAATTTGTCACACGAGGTACTTATGATCCTTCTTTCTTGATATGGCACTAAAATTATTCGGTGAAAAGTTTTGGCACAAAGTGAGCGCCGTCACTTGTAGTATCGTTTTCCCTTATTTAAATTATACTAAAAATAAGATAACTTAAAAAATAAACAAAAAAAATATCAGAGGAAAAAAAACTAGACGGATTTCTCTCTCTCTCTTTTAAACGTAAATAAAATCCCCGAGTAACATCAGCATTTTCCGTTAGCCAAGTTGAACGGACTTAACAAAAGGATTTTATTGCATCAATTTGACAAGGTCTAGGACTTAATCGCACTTTTTAAAACTTTGAGGAGCCGATTGCGTTTTCATGACAAGTCCGGGGACTTATGGTGTAATTATCCCTTCACATTAATTGACCTTTGGGCATTTTTGGAAAATAGAATCCTCCTTGACAAATCAAAAACCGGAACAGACAGCACAGCCCAGATCCTGTCCGGCCCAAAAGCGACTCCCATCACGCGGGAAAACATACCGTCGTCTTCTCTCCCAGAGCTCACTTGCATCCTGTCCAAACTGCAAATTCCTTCCTCCTCGGTCACCACCATGGACAAGTTCCTCGTCCCCGCAGAATCTCCGCTCCGCGCTCCTGCGAAGGCCGTGAAAAGGTATCGCCTTTCCGCTTCCCCAGTTCGTTGCATTTCCTTGATTTCGATTCTGATCGACCGGAAACCTGGCGTCGTTTCTGTGTTCTTTTTTTTTTTTTTTTTTTGGTCTGTTGATGAAATGGTCTCGATGGTTGAAGGCACGTATGGAAGAGGAGCGCTGTTGAATTGAACGGTAGGTTCGAGCGGAAGTACCGCCACCATCTGTCCGGCCTGCTGATGCCGTCGTATTCTCAGGTGAATTCATTTGATCTTCCACCGCCGCTACCGCCCTGTTCCATGTGTTGCTTGTTGTTGCTTGTTGCTGCTCGCCGGATTTCAGGTTTTTCCTTTCCTCTGATTGTTGAACTCGTGTGGAAGGTCAGGTCGGGGCGTTTCCGCATCGGTATGAGGTTGAAGGATCTCCATGTGCGACTAACTATGTATGGATTTCTCCATCTTGCTTTTTATGCGAATATCGTCGTGTCTTCTTCGGCTTACGTAATCGCGCGGCTTTTTTGGGCAGCTGAGTCAGCTTGAGCACACCTCATTTATGTTTGCCCGGTAGAGTCATCGAGAGCTCTCCTTTTTCCTTTTGTTTATCTGCTTTTCGCCGATATTTTTGTTTTTAATCCTTACCTTATATGCATACGACGACGGCGGATTCTTGGAGGGTACCTGAAGCTAAAATGGATGGTAAAAGTGTGGGAGGGGGTTGAGACTAAATAAACTCCCCAGGTATTAGGAATCCGGGAGGGGCCGGCGAATAATATTGACTGTGGGTTTTGCAATGTCTTCATAAGAAAGAGCTAAACAAACTCTTGACAGAGGTTAATAGGACTGTCTGCACCTTATCACCACTGGCAAAAAACGGAGACTCCTATATTTATATTCTCCTGAGGATTTTCATGGCTAGATATCGTGTGTCTGTTGGTCGATGGTCCACTCGGTGTTGGACTGAAACAACTTACTTAACTTTGGTTGAAAAGCTTAATGCCCATTCCTCTGAAGTGAGTACTTTTACTTACGTGGATATCATGAAATATAGGATGCAGAATTTAGTGGAGAACTACAATCTGGTGCACAAAAATCAGTATTTTGTTTGACCATTGGACAGCAAGAGATTTTGCAGAAAATTATTGCATATAGAATATATGAGTTATCTGTAATGGAGCTACAACACCTCTACATGCCATACGATGGAGTTGTCATAAGGATTTATTACTTGACTTGGTTGCCAGATGTCTAGGCGTTTTATCTTGATCGTTGCTTCCCTTTTTCTCGCCTTTTCCTTTTGAAAGGGGGTTTGGGGGTGCTTGGCTATCGGTACAAGCACCTTCCTTACTAAATTGCCTTCTATATTGGTCATTTTATATCAGTAAGTACTTGATATACGCGTCTTTTTATTAGGCCTCCTTCTACTCCGTTTGATACTCCTTAATGTGAACTTTAATATATGCCTGATAAAGTTTCGTATGTTGGTAGAATATCATCTCGTATTGCCAAAGATGATTGAAAGAAATATGCCAAAGAATAATAGTATCTCTCATGCACACGTGTCTCTTTGCATAGCATATTTAAGCATGAGCAACATGAGCCACTCAATTAAGTGTGTTTATAATGCATTCTTATATTTGCTTCTTTCTTCCTAAGCTCATGTGAAGAGTAGTGATTGATTTCATCAGATCAAGATGCCCAAAAGTTAACTGGTTTTTGTTCCTTCGTAGGCAAGGCATCTCTTGTATGGACTTCGACAACAAGGTAAATAGTAGGACGAGCCTGAATTTCCAATTTACGACCTTTCTTATGAAGTTGGATTTTTTGGTGCTTTTACTATAAATAAAAGTATCATTAATTGGCTGAATCAGACTTTTTCCCTGCATTCTGCCTTGGCTGTGTGCCTGTGCTTGCGCATGCATGTATATTTGTCTAAAACACGGTCAACCTTAAACTGAACATATATGGGAAGCAAATAATTTAGCAGGCAATACTAGCATGCTTGTGTTGGGATATTGTAATAGGCCATTTTCCCTGAACATGTAGGAGTCTCTCTCTCTCCCTCTCCCTCTCCCTCTGGCGCACATATCTACTGGCATGCATGAGCATGACAGCTGCAGGTGTTAGTACCTTGCGGAGGCTTATTAGCACTCACTCTGATAATATAAATATTGAAGATTCTTCATGAAATTATACTTGTTTGGTTCTCATTTGTGCTCGTGTCCTCACCTCTGTGTTCATTTTCGCAGGGTTACTACTTGGCATCTGTAACAAAATCAGGCTGCTTAACAATTCATGATTTTGAAAACCTTTACTGTCAGAGTAATCAACCACGTAAGTTTTATTGTAGAAGCTTTACTACTTGTTGCTTTCATTAATTTGACATAATTAATGCTTTTTAAGGTTCAGGGCAGTTGCTTGTTAGGGAAATGTAATTAACTTCTTTTCCAACTAATATCGAAACCGCAGGAAGGTGACATACTCAAGTATTATCATGACATGGAAATCACGTCATTTTGCAAAAGCGCAGTTGTACAAGAAATTTATCCTGTTTGAGTGGTTCATATTTCTTTCTACAGACCGACCTTACTTAGCTGTCTGCCTCTGCTCCCTGGCTTATATCTTGGTTTTCCACCGAGATAAGAACCAGTAGATGTTCTTTGCATGCGTAATGCAATACCATTGCACATGACTGTCTTTAACTTTCTGATATCACCATCTTTCACTAGCAAATTGAAAATTGTAGTACGATTGAGCTATAACATGTTTAGTGTCATTGTTGCCGTGCCTTGTAAGCTATTTTCTGGGAAGATGCTGCTTCTTGAATCCATTTAGATTCATGTGTGCTACTCCATTTTTCTTTTGTGTCATGATACTGTTGAGTTTATCTTTAGTTGACATTCCCAGAGTGTGCATGCTTTGTTAGGTTCGAAGGAGGTTGAACCCAAACACGTGATGCATCGTTCCTCACCAGATCAACTTGATGTTGTTCGTTGGAATGTTGCTTGCCAAAATGAGGTTTGGAGCTCATATACTCTGCGGGCCGCTTTTTGCATTATCTGTTGTGGCTTGGAATGTTGCCTCTGGATGCCAACATTCATAGATTGAGACTAAACATGACTTTTCTATTGCATTGCATATGCTGGCACAGGTCGGGCCAGAAAGCTGATTAATGTGCTCCCTACATTTTGTCTGTCTATGTTATCTTCCTGCCTTCACAATACGAAAATTTGTGATGGATACAAAGAGCTTTCTTATGAGCTGCTACATTGCGGATGTATTTCTTAAGATATTTTTTTTGGACATGAGTATGGATTACATCTTAATCTCAACATTTTATGAACCGGTTGATTAATGTCCGTTTAACTTCATGTCTGTATGTGTATTATATTCCTGCCTTTGCAATATGCAATCTGTGATGGTGCAGATGTCCGTTAGAATTTCATGGTATTGCTTTTTGTGATAGGCTTCTGATCTTGTATCTTTGAATTGTAATGTCATGCACCTCTTCACTGCAATGCTAATTCTGTTTTGTGTGGTTCCTTCTGTTTCCTCCTGAGTCTCTATGGCGCTTTTATGGGAAACTTTGCACTGGTGCAGGTTGTTTGTTCATCTCTGAAGAGTAATGTAATATCTGTGTTCGATGTTGGCTGTCTTTCCTCCGAGCCAGTTGGAGTAAGTTTTTGTTTGTTATACATTTAAAGTTCCAGTGAACAATAACTAATGGTAGATCTGGTGATGGCTTGTGTTTTCTATACATAAATACATGAGAGCGTGGTGTATAGAGCTCCCATGTTTGAGGGGGCGAATAACAAAGAGGCAGAGGCAGAGGCAGTATTCTTAATATCAATAAATCAGCTCTCTCTAGCACAGAAGCCTCGGGAGCTTAAAAATGCATCCTATTTCTACATATTAAGTAAATGGAATCTAAAACAAACTGCTGTCTTATCCTTAATATCTTCTATAGCTTTTACTTACAGGCTGAATCCTGGAGGAAAACTGAGTTCTTCATTTCCACAAGTAAATTTTGTTAATCCCGTGCAGATGTTAAGAACAAGGCAGTCTGTCAGCGTTCGCGGGTCCCGTGTACCGAGAGGTTTCTCTGACATTACTTTCACCTCTACAGATGCCTTAACGTAAGTTGTTTAAGTGAAATAAAAAGGACTCTAATATTCATATCATATTGTGGAGTTGACTGACCAAAAGAAATTGCATGATGATGAGCGATATTTATTTCTGGCCGCTCTTATTTCTCTTGTTGCTATTACGGGAACTGATACTTCTCTAGAATTCTTTGTTGAATTGCATATTTATTAGATGTTAGAAGCGAAGATAGTTTTGCATGGAGTGTGCTTGAGAGCCTTCAATTTCGAACTATATGAGCAGCAATAACATCGTTTACAGCACGTATTATTTGGAGGACTTTCCGGACATGCCTATCCTTTTACTTCATATATTATGGTAGCTTTATATCTTGGCAAGGCTGGGAGGAACACCTTTAACTAGATTCCCGTTCTCTTTTTTCTGTTAGTCAATTCTTTTGTGAGTGGTGCAAGTTGGCCTCCTTAACTGGCACTTGCTTTGGAAATTTTTAAAGAGTTGACGTACATTCCTTTCTGCATTCACAGATATAGCGAGAGTAGTGTAGCAAGCAATGATAAATCGTCTTCTGGAAATGCACGTGTTATTCCTTTACATCTTTTGTAGTAAAAAGCTTTGTCTGATAAACGCAATTATAGCATCTTTAGGATGTCCTGTTATCAGAGATTCTTGGAGGTACATTTAACTTAATAGACTTGCTGCTAGAATGGTCTGCCCTATGCTAATGTACTTAACTATCCGTGGTTTAGGCTTGGTTTTTGCATGCACTCATTAGTTCACTTCTCTTTGGTTTACATCTTGCAGTTCTGTTCTTTTCCATTAACACCCTATTCCTGATTGCCTTTTTCAATAGGCTAATTGCTTCTGATACACATGGTAGCATAAATTTATGGGATAGGAGAGCAAGTGTCTTTCCATATCTGGAGCTTACTACTGGTTCGCATGATTCTCTTAACAGTCTCCAATTAAACATTGAAAATCAGGTTATTACTAAGCCAATTCTGGAATTCCTTATTATTATGTGGATTGGTGCTTCGTTACAATGGACCTTTATCTTTTTGCAATAATTAAGTGCTTTTTCCATAGAACTCGAGTTTACTTGTTAGGAGGTTTTCTAGTTTTGGAGGTTTTGGCTCTTAGTTTAATAGAAGAAACAAAAGGGCCACACTTTTTTTCATATCAGCATTCTTTAAATGGTCTATGTTGTTGAGAGCCCTATTATTGAATAATGATGTTGCCTGGATTGATTTAATTTCTTTGATCTTGTATACTGTACAATACGTACTCTGCAGTTTAGATAGACTAGTACTGGAAGTCTATTCTATGTTATTCTTGTTCAATTGGAACCCCGATGCATGTAATATTCTGGGGCAATATGGTAACTACTGTATAAAGTAGTGTCTCTGTGCAGACATCAGGGTTAGAATTTAGGTTACTGTCCAAGGTTTAATTTGATGAAGAAGGAAATCGTCTACCTATTCTTTAGAAGTTAACTGGGACAAAAGTAGCAGAGTATATCTCTTAATTATTTCTGATGCCTGGATGCTTGGCATGATTAAAGGACCACACCAATGTAAGTTATTGTCAGAATGCCTCCTTGCTGTGATTTTATTCAATGACTTAAGGCAGTCATCTACCTGTTTTTCTGCGGTTATACAAAAGTAATACAGTGTAATCTATCAACTTTTTAAATGCATAGATGCTGTCAAAACTTTGCATAATTTATGGACAAAAGTCAGATTCTAACAAACTCCACTACTTGAAGAAGCATTGAAGCATGCCTCAGAGACAATCGCGAGAATTTCTGTATGCATCTTTACAAGAAACAGCAGCTATGAGATTTTAGAAGTAGCAAGATTTTAATGTTATTTATGCCATTTACTTTTGTCATTTGTTTTCCCACCTTGTTTTTCCCTTCTGGCTGGGTCTTGATGTGCTATTTGTTCTTCAAAAGAAGGGGAAAAAATCTGTTCTTTGACAGGAAATAGTTCAACTTCAGAGAGAGCAGATAGCATCTGTTGCTCCCTTGTTAAGCAAATATTAAATGTCTGACCTTTAATGTTCTGTATGTGACTTCTACTGTCATGTATGAAATCACATTGTTTTCCTTACTGGCAGGGTTTTTTATATATCATTTGTTCTTGAAAAGAAGTGGCTTAACGAGTGCTTATAGTATACATTTAATAAACTTTTGCAGACCATCTTCGGGGCTGGTAAGAAAGGCATGATTTATGTGTGGGATATTCGTGGAGGACGGACAGCTGGTGGTTTTCGAAATCCTAGAGAGGTAAAATAGCTACTTTGCTGCTTGATGTGTTGTAGGAAAAAAGTTGGTGGTTGTTTTTGTAAGAAATACAGGCACCGGAGTTCCTTGAACTTATGGAAAATGTTAAATCAGGTTACTCAACTCTTCTTTTTTGTGCAATTGGGTTCTTAAATTATATACCCTTTTGCTTGAGTTGGTCCTTTCTTGAAAGAAATAATAGCTTGTTGATGTGGCGTTAAATTGCCATAGATGCCAACATGTCATTCCACGTGGCATCAAACGCGACATTAGAATTCTAAAAAATGTTACTCAATATCTTAGAAAATAAAAATCTGAAAAAATATAAAAACAGAGGAAGAAAGAAGGGTTCAATCGGCCAAAAGAAAATAGATGAAGGGAGGAAGAGCTACGGCAACGGTGGTAATGGCGGCGCCGCCCAAGCACCAGTTAGGGTTGGCAAACCTCGCTGGCTCAGGCGAACCCAGAGGGAAAAGGTTGTGACCCATTGCCCTTGTCATTAGTAAAGGCGGCACTGGTGAAGGTGGTTGATAAATTAATCTTCTTCTTGACCTCATTCATCAATTGAATTGATCTGAAGCTCTCACTGCACCACTTTAGAGGTTTGCCTGAGCCCAGCGAAGGACGCCGGCCGTCATTGGTGCTTGGGCAGCACGCCTTGCCACTGCTGCCGTAGCTCTCCCTCCCTTCTTCCTCTCTTTTCCTTTGGCTGACCAAACCCTTTTTCTTCCTTCGTTTTTCTATTTTTTCAGATTTTTATTTTCTAAAACCCTGAAAAACTTTCTTTAGATTTTTAATGCCAATAGGATGCCATGTGGGATGACACATCAGCATTTAAGGGCAATTAAACGCCACGTCAGTGCCTCTGTTTATTTTTGTAATGGAAGGGCCAATTCAAACAAAGAAGTATATAGTTTAAGGACCCAATTGCGCAAAATAAAGGGTTGAGGGATCTAATTGAATATTTTGCAATAGTTCAAGGACCTCCGGTGCCTTTATTCTGTTCTGTAATTGTTTTGTTCCTTTTCTCTGGCTCATTCTCTGACAATGTATTAATGGTGGATTTGTTATTGGGCTTGGGTGTCTTTTTGCCTTTTTCTTTTTTAATAATTTCAATTAAGTTAAAAGCTTAGGGGATCAAAACCCAAAATTTAAGTTCAGAAGAGAGAAATACCTTAATAATTAAGCGCGTGAGAGAATTACTTGAAATTGCTGTGGGGTCAACTAACCCCAACTGGATTCAACAGGGCGCCAACCTTGACTGTATGACATGTAGAAGGTGTAGGAAATAGAATCTTCACAGCTATAGCTGTCAACTGAATATTATCATGTAATGCAATATTTCCTATTCTTTCATATCCAGGTGCAAAATCCTCCTCATACGACTTTCAGGGTGGCTGCAATGCTGGACGAAATCGAGACTTTAAAGGTACATACACGTTGCAATATTCTCGTATGCAACATGTAATGTCAGTTCAAATCCTAATTGAAGTGTGTGGAATCAATCCAAACTCAACGTGTTGGCTGTCGAGCTTATGACCCATGCATTTAATTCACTGATATCCTATGGTGCTTGCTCATTCTGTTTAAGAACTTCTGCTCGACTGCGACTCAAAAAACAAAATTGTGGTCAACAATTGATCATTTGACTCTGCAGCATAAATATGAACCTCTTTCTCTTAGTCATAATAAATGAACTCGCATGTTCTTTTTTCAGGCACAATCAGACATTGTTGCCAGGGAAGTACACTCGATTGATCTTGATCCTTCTTGCCCATATCAATTGGCATTTCATCTTGATAATTGCTGGTAGGTTGGTGATACATGTATTTACTTTTCCTAGTGTTTTCTGCCTTCACTTGATTGACCGGTGTCTTGTTAGTTTGAGTATCTACGGATGCAAAAAGCACTCAGCTATATTTTGCGTTGCCTTTTTAATCGTAGGTATATACTGATCATCATGCTAGCTTGGTTAACAGATTGTTTGTAACTTCTTGTATCCCTGAGAAAGTACTCTGAAGTCTTAACTCCTCCAAATTGTATTGGTTTGCTAAAATGGTCTTTGTCAATTGGTATTTGGTGAACCAACATTCTCACATGGTTCTTGGTAGCTCCATTTGTTTGTACTGCACTTTTAGTCCATTATCTTAATAAAATCTCCGGGCAGTAGCATTTTAATTCCTTGACTGAAAATGATGTAAGTAGTGAAACTTTTCGTCTTTATCGGAAGAAATTTTGCGTATCAAGAATGGTGTGAGCACTTGCTTCAGTTATACATGTTTTACGATCAAAGATGAGGATCTGCATTGCGATCTCAGTTATTAGGTTAACTTATTTAAATTTTGATTTTTCACTTGATGCAGGTCTGGAGTTTTGGATCTCTACAATCTTCGTGTGACTCACATGCACTGCCCTCCCCCATCATGGCTGTGAGTAAACTTGAACGAATTTTAGCTTAGTGGATGGTGAATATATTAATTGTATTGTTAAAACTGTACTGTTTCCATTCCGCTTGATTTAGGATGGGTGCTGATATATCGAGCAATTTATTCTACTTGAGGAAACCGTCATGGCTTCCAACATATTCGGTAAGTTTTCTACTCCATTCCTATAGAGAATTTCTGACGTCAAATGTTTTTTAGTTCAATAACAGTGCATGTTTCATCACATTGTTGTCAGAAGAGTTTTCGCGAGGCTTTTATTTTTGCACTTCCTAAAGTAGTGCAATTATAACTTTCCCTCTAGTCCTTTTCCCTTCATGTCTGGCGATGGCGATAAGCAGTAGCGATATGAGTATGGGTGAGATTGCAAGAGTATAGCTCTGGCTGGAGATATTATGAGCCAAAACTTTAGGTTCAGAGTGAGCTGAAAAAAGCAAACATCAAACTGAATTGTTGTGCAACATAATACAAAATTGATGTGCAATGCACAAGACACCATAGCAAAAAGCAAAAGGGCCCATGAAGTTACATCTTTGGGGATGTAAGCCTGTAAGAATTATTAGAATGTCTTTTGGCTATAACATGACAGAGGAAATGCTATGTGATTAGATGGTCAACGAACTAGCATAGCTAGTTTCTTTGTCTTAACTTGGCACATGCATTCTTAATATGTCACATGATCTCACTTGAATATTTTGCATCGATGCAAATCAAATTCAGGAATCTTGGATTGTTGGAAAATTAATTGTATATCCCCATGAAAAGGCTTCTGTTTGTTTAACTGTTCTGCACTATGTTATGCAGATCTATGTGGTTCCATCAGTACCTGAAAATGGAATTCATCTTCTGGATTTCTTTCCAGATGTCAGTTCCCCCAGTCATGTGGACTACTTGTAAGGAATCTCTAGATAGCTTATTCTTTTTCCTGCATTAAATTCCTAGCACTAACTTTATTGTCTTAATTTCCAGTGAAGATATGCGTAAGTCTTCCAAAGTTAGTAGCCGAACTAGGCGAAATAGGTATATTCCTCTGTCTGAAGGTGTCACAGCATGCGCTGCTCATCCGGTCAATGGTACCATAATTGCTGGAACGGAGGTTTGGGACTGATCCATTTGTTATTGCCTTCACTAGTGACTAGCCATTCGTTTTACATCAACTCCAAATCTAGCTCCATTGGTTTTATTCATATCACCTTTGTCTGATTTGCTTTTTTACCAGTCCACTCTTTCGTTTTCCCTTGTCCGTTCTTGCTGCCCTTTCGTTTTGGAATCAAGCAGTGGGGAATGGCAGAGTTGCTTAAAATTGACTATTAAGTATTGCCTGTTGGGTATCATTATCTGTTGGGATGTCCTCAGTTTGAGGTTTACTGCTGCTTTTCTACACGCTTCGTAAGTTCCACTGATGTGTTTGATCCGTATGTGCTAGTATAGCGGTAGTCCTTATTAACCAGAGTACAAGGTAATGGGGAACATGATTACTAAAAGACTAGAAGCTATCAGACAATCAGAACGCGGGCTAGAATAATTTTCTGCAGAATTATTTACGCAGAAGACTTAGTTCACACTTTATTCGCTTGAATGTCTCCGTCGTCTTGCATTCTAGTTTCTGCAATAGAAATCTTACAGATGGTGAATGTCGAATTTCAGCTTGCTTCACTGCTGGTACTATCTCAAAAGCATGAGAGGCTCTCAGGTGAATGACGTTTGTTGAAGCCCCAAGGAAGATGGTGTTCTGCTGGAAATGAGCTCTATGATCCAGCGGTGGTGTTGATTTAACTGAACAAGTTCGCGGAACAAAATCTGCATTAAACTCTCGTTGTGACCCTCCAAAACAGAGAATCAAGTGGCTGCAGAAGGATCCGACTTTCCGGGGATGCTGGAGAAACAGAAGATACAGATAAGCGATGAGCATCGCAAAATAAGCATTACATAGTTACAACTGTAAATGTTAAGACTGTGGGAGTAGTTTCTTTATTGACCTTTGTGATAGCTCCTTTTATGTTCTTAGCCATACTGCGCAGTCAACTTGAGTGGTGTATTCAGGGTCATTGGAGATATTTATACTTTGAGGTTTCTTCTAATAATAAATGCAGGTTAGCCGAAAGGTTGCGAAACAACTAGAATCCGAGCAAATTTGAATCCAGCCGGAGACGATAGGCTGTATTTACAGCAAAACCTTTTAAGACTATTGGGGCAGCTAGAATCGTTTCACAGAGCATGTCTCTTATGATTGCATAACTTCCTGTTTACTAAATAGCGAAAAACCAAAGACATGACTCCATGAATGAGAAATGGGAATACCCAGTCCAGCATATATATGTTCATACGCCATACATGGTGACTTACACGAGAAACCGTGGTTTTTTATGAGACGAGAAGAGAAAATGAGGTTCGAGTTGCACGAAGCTAATTGACTACGGCCAGAAAAACCCCGAAGCATTTCAAGAACTGCCCTTTCTCTTCTAGAATTCGTCCGATGGATTAGAGATAAGTCCCTGGGATTAGAGACGGTTCCGAGGTGCGGAGAGGTAGGGGAGATGGGAAAGCAAAGCAAGAAATAAAACGAGGAGAGCAATTTCTAGATTGGAAGAAATCACAAGAGAGAATCTAGGATGGTGTTCGAATACATGCTGGTTTGACATCGAGCTTGCAGGGGTCGTGCGAACCGTCTCACCAAACTTGTCTCGAGCCATTTGCCACGAGAGAGTTCAACATGTTCGGATCAGTCGGATCCGCACGATACCCGTCATTTCAGCACAATACAATTGACACAATACCGAGCAAAAACACACATGATCATTGAAAATTGAAGGGTCGGATTGGATGGCAGAAAGGGGGACACGTGGTTGAAATCACACGGATTGGATCCAACGCATGCGATGGGCTTTCTTGAGCCGACCCGAATGTCGCAACTTCTGGGAAATGCGAACCCCAGCATAAACCAAGCAGACAAGACACCTCCCCAGTGAAACAAACGACACAACAGAAGATGGAACGAAAGTTTAAGGCGAAGAACTCGATTCATTAGTAAAAGCATCTCCCATAGATTTACAAAACCCAGACCTCTAAAAGCTAAGCGACATATGCAAAACGCTTAAAAAAAGGCCAGAGGGCCCCAGCAGCAGGACGAGAGACGGGATCAAAATCCAATCTTTGATCTAAAAGAAACCAGACCCTTCAAGCCCTCTCCCCCCTGATCCTGCGGGCGAGCTGGATGTCCTTGGGCATGATGGTGACCCTCTTGGCGTGGATGGCGCACAGGTTGGTGTCCTCGAACAGACCCACCAGGTAGGCCTCGGCGGCCTCCTGGAGGGCCGCCACGGCGCTGCTCTGGAACCTCAGGTCCGTCTTGAAGTCCTGGGCGATCTCCCTCACCAGCCGCTGAAACGGCAGCTTCCGGATCAGCAGCTCCGTGCTCTTCTGGTACTTCCTGATCTCCCGCAGCGCCACCGTCCCGGGCCGGAAGCGATGGGGCTTCTTGACGCCGCCGGTGGCCGGGGCGGACTTGCGGGCGGCCTTGGTGGCCAGCTGCTTCCGCGGGGCCTTGCCCCCGGTGGACTTGCGGGCGGTCTGCTTCGTGCGGGCCATCGGCAAACGGAAGCAAAGAGAAAGCGAAGGGAAAGCGAAGGAAAGTGTTCGTTTTCTCGAGAAACTGAGAGAAACTGAGAGAAAATTTTGGTCGTGATGGAAAGCGTGGAGGTTCGAAGAGCTATATATATATATAGAAAGAGAGAGAAGAAGAGAGACGGGGGCGCGCGGGAGGTTCGAAATTTCGGAGATTTGCCTCGGGTGGCTCGGGGAGTCAATCGTGGCCGTTGGTGGAGTTGGGTTGGGAACGGCCGGGATTTGTCGGATCGGGTTCACGCGGATCGCGATCCGTGCTGGAAGTTGCTGAACCGCGCGGACGGTCGAATCCTTTCGCGCTTGACCCAAAAAAACAACTTTGGAAAACCTCTTCGCGGATTATTTGAATTTTAAAATGTCCTCGCGGATTACTGAACCGCGGCTACACAGTCTCGATAAAATTATGAAATTGGAGTCACTATAGATCAAAATGGACTCAATCCTAATCCTAATCTAATTTTTGTTTAAAGAAAAAGCATGGACCACTGTTTAAATCGCTGGAAACACAAGTCCAGCGTAGGTAATGCTAATTTTAGGATCCATTTGTTTCGCGAAAAATATTTTCTTCTATTTCCGGCGTTTGGTTCGTTATGAAAAATGAGTCAACGGAAAACATTTTTTTAATCAATGGAAAATATTTTATTACTAAAGCTTAAATTTAAGAAAATGATTTCCTCTTTAAAAGAACTGAAAAACATTTTCTAAAATATGATTAGGTATCTACGCTTGGACCGAAACTCTATGCTTGGGCACAAAAATCCCAACATTGGTTCCAGGTCCTGGTGTTTAGGACCAAGTCTTCGGTGGTCGGGCCTGGGTTCGTCGAGGCCAGGCCCAAGACCCCCCGTGCTTGGCCCTGGGCCCTCGACACCCACGCCCAAGTCCATCGAGGCTGGGCCCAAACCCTTGGTGCCTGTACCCGATGCTTTGGCATTTGAGCCCAGGTCTATAAAGGTCATGCTTGGGTCCTAAATGCTCGAGTTCTGGTCTCGACCCTTGGGCTCGGGACAACAATGGCCGTGCATAGGTTCTCGACGCTCGGGCTTAGGTTATCGGCTAATAAAATGTTTGTTCATACGAATTTTTAATTATTTTTATATTATATTCTTTTCTTTTCTTTTTGCTTCTTCCTTGGCCAGCCACAGGTGAGCTCGAGCCTCACCCAAGGCCAGCGACCGGCCACACCAACATCCGGCAACCGTCGACTAGCAGCGGTGGCTAGAAACCGGCGATAACAGAGGGCGACCGTTTGATAAGATTTTGCATATCAAACGGCAGAAAATATTTTCTAGTTCATTTGGTTTCAGCCAAACACCGAAAAATATTATCACTGAAAAACATTTTCCATAAATGCTACATTTTCCGCCAAACAAATGGATCCTTAATCGAAACTTTTGTTTTTTAAAGCAATCACAGGCGCACTCGATTTGTTTGGGATGGTCATCTACTTTAGCCTCGTTACGGTAAAAAGACCATAATGGTAAAGCCTGTTTTGAATGATCTTTTATGACTGGCAAGCTTAAAACTTCGTATTTTTCGCGCAGAACATCTTAAACAATTTTTAATATATAACTATTGATGCACATGACCATTTATGTTATTTGCAAATTTTCTCGACGCTTTAATAATTTTTTCATCCATGAGACCGATAACCTAGCAATTAGCAAATCATCAGTGAACAAATCCGATCCGGAGGTTGTCGCCAAACATCTTATCCTATCATCAAGAAAAGCTTGCGCAAAAGAAAAATATGCACCACAAGAAAACAGCAAATAGCTGGGGACAGCCTGTTGATATAACCACGATAACGTTCTTCAATATGACGAAAAGATGTTGTCCATCAGAGAGATCTCTGTGGGGGATAATCGAGTGGCAGTCAATGGAGATTTCCCATCCTGATGCAATGACTTGATTCATTCTCGATTCACACACCACGCAGACAGACGATGCATTACAAGAAACAGCAACCTACGATCATCGTCGTCGTCGTCATCAGCACGCATGCGTCGCAAGCGCAAGCTTCGGCCAGCGTGCTAATAATGCAAAAGGCATATCACTATCCACAGACCACAGGAGAGAGGACCCAAAGAGAAAAGAAAAGGAAAGGAAAGGAAATGGGGGGTGATGAGGATTAGTTCATCAGAGTTAGCCAGCTAGCTGAGCTTGCTATTCTGACCATCTGCGGCAAAAGGTCAGTCTTTTGTGGGTTCTTGACGGTTCAAGGAGAAACGGGCTTGCGGCGATGATGGAGAGGGTCGGGCCCTGTGGGGACTTGTCTTGCAGAGCCTTCGACGTCGACGAGCGCCGATGAATAGCCTCCGACGACCAGATCTCTTGCCATCTTCGTGTTTCTGTTCCCTTCTGTGATCTTCTCGAGCACGCACACGAAATAGAGAGAGAGGAAAAAGAAAAGAACAAGTTACGAGGGAGAGAGAGAGTGAAGAACGAGTGCTGTGACATCAAAATGGGAATGGGAAGCGCGAGTAGAGCAAAAGTAGCAATGCGTTGGTGTTACTTGTTGGTTCTTGGTTACCTCGGAAGAATAAGGAGCCGTGTTTGCGTTCTCTCCTGCCCTCCATGAAGTTCCATCTGCGACAAGATTAATCATCGTCAAAACTGCAGCTTCACCACTCACATGCCACAGAAAGAGAGAGAGAGAGAGAGACGATGATGATGAACTTACGCGAAGCGGAAGGAAGGAATAGAAGGAGCAGCAGCACAAGAATGAGGACGGAGATGGAAAGCCTAGGGCTAACGGTGAGACATGTTCGTCCAGCCACCATCATCTGCATATGCAATCAATGGGACTCTGAGAGGGAGAGGAGAGGAGAGGCGGCGAGGATGGAGGAGGAGGAGGAGGAGGAGGAGGAGGAGACGACCGTTTTAAGAATGTTGCTCGTCGTGACGTGACAGCAAAAAACTCTCGTACCCTATTATTTCCTCCGTGGTACTACTGATCACAGTCATCCGGTCCGGGCGTTGCTCCTGCGACGACGAGATGCCAGATGAAGACGACTGAAGACGTACACTTGGCAGTCGTAGAATACGTACAGAGACAGAGGATCAAAATGGGCCCAGCTTTTGTCAGTTTATTAGAGGCCTTTGGTGCCATGCTATGTGGACATTTTTCCTTTGCTAAATGCCCAAGGCCGTATATGAGTAAAGTATTGCATACGGTCTGCGTACGTGAGCATACTCTTCTTGTCTCGGTTGTCCGATCATTGGATCTTACACGACACCCTCAACATAATCGTGTTAGGACCAACAAAAGAAAAAAGGATATGTATTTTTGTTGCCTGATGAAATGACCAAATGATATGGAAAGATGTCATGAATAGCAAACCCAAAACAACGGCACTTTCATACTATATTTCGGTGCAATAATCTCGAGGCAGGGACAGTGCGTTTTGCATGTTGAGTCTGAGCTCTGCTACTGCAACATCATTTGCCAGCAGAGTTGTATTTAAGGAAGAGAGCACCACAATATATATGGGATATAAGTAGGCTCCGTTTATTTCGTATTCTAGTCAAAATAATGAGCTAATTTGACATCCCAATCATGTTTCGAAAAACATGATCACGTGTTCTAATCAAAACAAAGACAACCTTTTTGTTGTTTATAATATTCAGTGGTTAAATACCACCACGTTATAGGTGATGTGGCATATACTTTTGTACTGAAAGTCAATAAAAAATCGACACGTGTCTATGACATGGCAAGTAAATAAAAAAAAGGGACAAGTGCACTACAAGTCCTAAAACTTGTCACAAAAGTGTATTTGAGTCCTAAAACTTGCAAAAAGTTCATTTGAGTCCTAAAACTTGTCAAAATAGTTCATTTGAGTCCTAAAGTTAACACCATTAGATTTACTAACGGAAAATGCGACGTGGCGCCCGACATGTCATTTTTAATTATTTTTCTTGAGACACGTGGCGCCACGTCAAGCAAAAATAAAACCAAAAAAGGAAAAAAAAAAAAAGAACCGGCGGTGGCCAAGCCCGGCCACCCGTGGCCGCCACCACAGCCTGGGGAAGGACCGCGGAGGTCGCTGGGCCTTCCCGGGCCCGGAGACCCCTCGCCGGCCCGGCAAGGGCCGGCGACCTCGCTCAGATCGGGGCGAGGGTCGCGCCCTCCCCGCATCGAGGGTCGCCGGCCCTCGCCGGGGACTCGCCGGGGCGGCGAGGGTCGCTTGGGCCCCGAGGCCCGGCGACCCTCGCCGGCCTCGGCGAGTCCGGCGAGGGCCGGCGACCTCGCCAGACTGCGGGCGAGGGTCGCGCTCTCCCCGATCGAGGTCGCGGCCCTCGCCGGGACTCGCCGGGCCGGCGGAGGTCGCCGGGCCTCGGAAGGCCCAAGCGACCCTCGCGGCCCGGGCGAGTCCGGCGAGGGCCGGCGACCTCAACTGGGAGGCGCGACCCTCGCCCGGATCCGAGCGAGGGTCGCGGCCCTCGCCGGGACTCGCCGGGGGCCGGCGAGGGTCGCCGGGCTTCGGAAGGCCCAAGCGACCTCTCGCCGGTCCTTCCCGGCCGCCGGACTTCGGCCACCGCGGTGGCCGCGGGCTTGGCCACCGCCGGTTCTTTTTTTTTTTTTTACCTTTTTTTGATTTTTTTTTCAGCTTTTTCTATTTTTATTTTTATTTTTGCTGACGTGGCGTCATGTGTCTCAAGAAAATAATTAAAAATGACAATCCCTAAAAAAAAAAATCATCTTCTGTTTTTCTCCCTCATTTTCCTCTTTCGTCCACAGCCATCTCTTTCATCCCAGTCACTGGCGAAGTTACTGGCGCTGCGTTAAAGCCGACCACTACTGCTCGTCGAACGAGTTGTCGTCGCTCGCAGCCTTCCATCCACAAAGCACCGCTCCGTCACTAGCTCCATCTTCTTGCTCGTCCAAGGCTTTGCTCGTCGATCCAAATCTGGCCTCGTGGAACTTTGCCGCTAGGCTTGATCTTCCCGATGAAGAGCTCCATCTCAAGATCAAGAGGAGCTCGTCGATGGTCCATCTCGAGGACGAACTCCATATCTAAGGCAATGGCTCGTCGGTGGAGGAACTCACAGCAGTAGTAAGTGGCAAGAGTATGAATAAGCCGTGAGGAAATCCAAAAGTTTCATACCCACGTATTGAATTTCAAACTTAGTGACAAGAGTATGAATAAGCCGTAAGGAAATCCAAAAGTTTCATACCCACGTATTGAATTTCAAACTTGAGTATTCATACCAGCCTTGAGGAAATCCACATTTCATGGCACTCAAAAGTGTTGAATATACACTTGCCATGGACGAACAGAGGAAGATCTATGGACACAATGGTCGGCTTTGATGCAGCACCAGCGCAGTCGCCGGTGATTGGATGGAAGAGGCGCCTCTAAACGAAGGAGGAAGATGATAGAAAATAAAAGAACTGATTTTGAATTTTCTTTTATTTACTTTCCGTGTCATGGATATGTGTCAATTTTTAATTAACTCTCATTGCAACAAGAGATCTCCCACCATTTAGCAGGAAGGCAGAATTGCATGAAGAAAGAAGCTTGAAATTTCCCTGTGGCAGGCTCCAGAAACCAGGGCACGACGTTTCCCTAGCGATGATCACACATGTTTAAGGTACTTCAACACGACCGTGTAAAAAATTCGTCTGTGCTAGAAAGAGCGATGTGCAACATGGCATAAACCTCAATGCCCAAATTTATGTCGGGCCACATCAAATTGCACATCCATTGCAAAATCCCTGGTTCTGGACCCACCCTAGGAAGAAAGACAACTACCGGATGCAAATCCTAAGACGTGCACGTTGCGATGATATGAGAACCAAAGAACCTCTTGAAGAGTGCAACTTAAAGATATATCCGAACTGACCAGGATAAGAAAGATGCTCGCACTTGCTCTCTCTAAGAGCCATAATCGGGGACCACGAGATTTCCAATGAACAGAGAACAGAGCAGATGCTGGTACATTTACAGCCACGATGCCTAATGTAAGTATGCATTCAGAGGCTTCAGCACCTTCCTTCGTGCACATTTTAGAAAAAGAATAATCAGGAACATTCACCTCTACGCCAACTTCCTAGCTAAAGATTCCAGATGGGAGCAAGGACAAATCTAACTTTCATAGATCCGGGCTCATTTCTCTTCCCAACTACATCCTGCCCATGATGAGTAGCAGGTGGGAGATTGCAGATTGAACTTCTACGTTTTTCAATGCCATCGCAATATTGAGCACAATGGATCCAAAAGAGAGCCATTTCATTGTTTTCTCATCCTTCCTATGTTCCTGAACGCAACAGTTGCCTAGTTATGAAGTTCAAAGAACCCCAAGGGTTCATTTCGAGTAACAGAAGCAAGAAAAATGCGCATCTGATTCAGGTATTCACACACAGGCAAAATGAGGATGAACAAGCTAATCCTTAATCATCGGATATGTCATGTAGCCGGTCCATAATTTTGAGTCATCTGCATAAACTCCTCAATAGAGTCGGAACCCCAAAAAAAAAAAACCCAACATTTTCCTTTTATTTTGGAGCAACTGACTTGAATTTGTCTTTTTAACTTACAACCTAACAATATACAAATTCCGGAACCTGCGCTAACAATTACCAGAACCTCCAATGATTAGCAAGACATGGCCTTCCCAAGTCAGTATATAATGGCAGCTTTCTGCAATTCCTGTAACACATCAGAAAGGATTAATGGACATTAAACTTGTACAGATTCATAAGCAAAAGGTGGTGAAGCAAGAGAACAGGACAAAGGTGACATCACTTACAATCTACTGTCAATGGTAATGATATCCACAATCTATGCCGCAAAGTATTTGATAAGATCATCTTCAAACTCCAGATTGTGACAATCGTCCCACGAAGCCATGTCCTCAAATGAAGGGAAAGGGCTGTTTTGTATGCCGAAATCCAATGGAAGTGGGGAGCCAAAGTTACAGTCAAAAGGTACATCTTTATCAGTTGGAAACGCTTCTTTCCCCAAATGATGCAAGTCCGCTCTCGGAATGTCATTTCCAGTTTTATAAGGTGCTGGGACATGAGTTCCAACGTCCTCTGGTCTAATCTGAGGTTCGATTGTTCCTATCTGAGTCTGCTGCCCACTGAGATCAGGGCCATATGATGGTGTTGTGCCATAGTAATTATAAGCGGCTGTTGCATGTGAAGCATTTTGCATCAAAGGATGAAGCAAGGGCTTTCCACCCACCAGCATGCTCTGTGTTGACATTACATCTGTCGAAGGGAGGGAAGAGAAATGATCAAACTCAAGTGGTTGTAACTGTGATTGTCCCTCGAGATTGAGATCTTTCTTTGAGGGGCTCATATCCGGAATTGCAGCATTTTCCTGTTGCATGCCATGAACTTGATATCCAAGAGGCTGCACATCAATGTGGCCGTGATTCATATCAGGAAAACTGTCCCCCTGCTCATAACCCGGATGGTCATTGATGGGTGGAGGAGGATGCGGATCCGCAGAACTCGATTTAGTACGCGGTCTTTTCCTTTTGCGTGTCTTCTCCCGATGCTCTTTATCTTGGTCACTTGTTTGAGTGTTATTCTGATGGTCACCAATCGCCACAGTATTAACCATCTTATTTTTCCGAGTTTCTTTAGATGAGACACAACCACCACCACCATCAACGTCATCAACGTCATAGTCACTATCACTGCTCGCTGCGGGTTGCTTCTTCTCATTACGAGTGCTAGGTGGAGACTTAGTTATTCCCGACGTCCCATTATCACTACTAGGTTGCTCAATAACAGACTCCTCTCGACTCAAAACGCTCAACCAAATGGCGCTCTCTTTTGCTGTCATCTTGTCCTGCAAGCACTTGGACTGGCGAACGTGCTTTCTTATCTTTGCAATATCAGGTGACATGTGCTTTATGACGGCAGTCAACACGCCAACTTTCCACATCTTCTTTAGGTCATGTGGTTTCTTATATGGAGGACTCTGACCCTGCGGTAGCCCTAACTTTATCCACCAATCCTCATTACCAGTTGGCCACCAAGGCGGCGGAATTCCCTTCTCTAGAGGATACTTCCTCTGAGGGGGATTGCAATGCTGCATCAAAGAAGACAATAAAGAACCCAAAGTTGCATCTTGTAGATCCTGAAGGGCACTCTGAGAACTACCCTTGCGACTAGAATCTGCCGCTCCCATGGCTAAACAATCTGCTTCGTACTTGGTTATGGCCGCTGGCCCATTCTTATCAAACTTTACCTTTTCTTTCCACCAAGCCCTTATGTTATCAGAAGCACCGCTCACTGGTTTACCCTTCTCTGGAATAATCCCATAGACGAAACCCCGTGCTTTGCACACTTCCATCAGCTTCAGCATATACTTGAGAATCCCATCTTGAGCTCTAGACATTTTCTTCCTCCGAGCCTGATCGGATGTTTGCTTGTTTTTTTGCCTTTCTGCTGCTCGTTGTGCTGCAATCTTCTGTCCTTCCTTAATCCTTTTGAGTTTGATACGGTCCTTCCACATTCGTTTCTCGAGTTCCTCGGCTTCAATTTCTTCGTCGCTAACATCCTTCTCCGCAATGTTATCGCACCTTATATCATCGACTTCGATGTCCGAGCCTTCGTCCATCGCATCAGCAGCAATCAGAAGATTGTCCATCCAAACTCGATCACCGCCGCAGCAGCTCACACTAAAACAATACTCGGAATCTTACTTTCGCCGCGCGAGGCTCGCTTATCAACATTTAACAGCCTGGATCGGGAACGATAAGAACCGTCAAGATCGCAAGCCTATTCTGCCAAAACTTAATAATAAAAAAGAAAAAACCCAGTACGAAGAAAGGGAAACCTCATGACACCAAAGACTCTCTTCCATTCTCATAACAGGCAGCCTCTAACCTCGACCATCAGCTGAAAAACAATACACAATGACTAGCTATCTTCTCAGTTCCCCTAGCATAATCTTTTATAATACTTTTCCAGGCCACCACAGGCAACAATTCTCCGACCCAAATACTGCACCATGATCACGGACCAAAAGAAGCATCCTAATAACACACACGACCCCAAATGCCAACAAAACCCCGCAGAGACCAAAAGCACGCGAAAACCATCCAAACCCACGATCGAAAGACAATTCCGACAACAGCACGAACACCCAGAACCGAAAAATTCCAATCCCGGCACAAACGAAAGACCGCCGGGGAGACAGAGAGAGAGAAAGAGAGAAAGTTCCGAACTTTTTACCGGATTCTCGCCAATCCGAATCGCCCCGATACGAATCCCCGCCAAATCCGCGGAAAGAAGAAGAAGAAGAAGAATCCCCGGCGGAGAGATCGATCGTTTCTCCTCGTTTTTCCTTTGACGTAACCCGGAGGAGGGAGGGAGGGAGGAAGGAAGGAAGACGACGACGACGCCGCCGCGGCGAGGGATGGAGATGAAACCCGGGCAAAGGGAGATGAACCCCCGCGCACCAAAAACCCAAAAACGGGGGGGCTCCTCGGGGAAGAGAGAGATAGAGAGAGAGAGAGAGAGAGAGAGAGAGAGAGAGAGAATAAAGAAGAAAAATAGTTGGAAATTCAACGAGACGGAGAGAGAAATCGATGGAGGGTCGCCAGAGGTTTTACAAGTGGACAAGAGAAAGATGAACTCCTCGGGGCTCTGCAGAGTCGCCATTCCCCTTCCGGGTTTGGTTTTTATAGCCTGCGTCGCGTCCATACCTCGGACCGTGCGGCCCGCGAGCACGTACGTGCGTTTTGCGCATCTGTCTGTCCTGTTCCTCGTTTTCCGGGGACAAAGACTTGTCTGTTTTTTTTCTCTTCTTCTCTTCTCTTTTCTTTTCTTTTTTTTTTTTTTTTCCGTCTTTCTGGCAGTAGCGTTTTACGCTTCCCTATTATTTTTTTTTTTAAAGCGTAGAGGCGTATTTCCGAATTTATCGTATTAATTCGGGATATGGAAAAAGGCAAGAAAGATATATACGCGCGATTTCTTTTCATAACCGGCTTGTGCGGAAAATCGTTTTCGAGCTGGATTTCTCGCTCCCACTGTTATCCTTAATGTTGCTTGATCACCGCTTTCTCGTCTTAATCGGAAACAAAATAAGGATTTCGAAGCGCATTTTGAAAGTTCTTATTGCCCTTGTCGAATGTAATTATGAAAGTATCTACGTAGTTTGATAATGAATTAGATTAAAATTCGAAAGCCAGAAAAAAAATGACCCATTTTGCTAGGAGATAGAATGTTTACCATTTTGAAGCGTGGAAATATCTCCTTATTGCACGTACATTTATAAATGGACGAGAAAAAAAGATATAATGGCTAGTTATTTTCTTACTACGAAGTAAATGTATAGACGGAAAGAACGAAGAATAATGGAAATAAATTTTTGTAAATCCATTTTATTGCTGGATAAAGTAGAATTCACATAGTAAATAACCTGCAATATATAACACTGATAAAAAGCAAATTTCTATAGGTTTTGAGTACGAAGTTATTCACATGCAGAAAAAATATTTACCAACGTAGATTTATCGAGAAAGAAAGTATTTATCAACGAAAACTTTCCATTCCTTCACCTTATGAGATACGACAAAATATCTCCTCTTTGAAGGGATATCCCACGGGCCACGGCATCAGATAGCACAGGGAATTCTTTGGTTATATGGCTAAAAAGAGTCAAATGGGTAGCCGAAATAGTCTTCATTTGCAGTAATATTTGTAGCTCTTTCGGTGAAAACAAACTATTAGGATGCCGAGAAATGCTCCCGAAATGTGATGAATCGAGTCCATTCTAGTTCATGCATTGATCACACGGGCACCACTCGTAAAGCTTACATGAGCTTACACGATCAATCATTGATTTATAGCCATGGATTCAAATTTGGACAAGAATTTCTATCGTACATGTACCCACAACGGAACGGGACACTCCTTAATAATGCAAAATCTCTTCGTAGAATTTCTCCTATGCCATTAATAGGAGAGGATCACTCCAGTCACATGCTTGCATTGTCACTGTATTTTCTCTGTTTGAACAAGTCAAATAGTCACCACCAAAGTTCCCTCTATCTGTTGGCCTAAGCTAAGGAAGAGAAATTTGATGGTCATTCTTGGTTCATGTTTCCCTTCATAGCTTACTGTTACACGCACGCTTGCTTTGAAAGAGCCACCACTCACAAAAGCGCTCTGCCGTTTTATTGCGCACGTTGACTTTATAGCAACATGATCAATACGGCTAATTCCAGATTGGTGGCCTAATATAATGACTTGCAGCATCCAATTTGAACTCTCACTCTTGTTGTACAAAAATATATCGCATCAAATCATTTTGCACGCCCCTCGTTCTCGCCTCTGTATGCCATTGCGCCGTTACACGGTCGTATCGAGAGTTTGATTTCTTTAATGATGCCCCAAATGCTACCTCGTACGTGACTGGCGAGGGGCGTTAAAGTATTGATCAGGATCTGGTTGACTTGTGCTCTGTGAATCCAATTCCCCTCTCTTTTCCTTGCTCTCTACCATTCCTTTTTCCCCTAAAGCATCAGATTCCCCCCCTCTCTCTCTCTCTTTCTAGGGTCAAACCACAACAATAGAATAGTAATAATAGGGTTAGAATCCATTACAGAATTTGAAACGCAGTTGACCAGTCCTTTCCCAATAAGATCTCAAGTGCCAGTAGCTTCGTGCTAATGGCAAACTGGACTTGCTAGCGTATGTTGGGTCGCTAAAGCTCATGACCAGATTGGGTGGTGTACGGTCGACGAAAAGTTGTACACTAGTCAAATCACGGTCCTTGATTCTGAATTCTGGTGAATGCAGGACAAATGCTAATACGAAATGTTTTGGACTAATTTAAAATGTTCATATAGAATGTTATGGCTTCAATGGAGAAAGATGCACAACAGCTTGGAGAGCTGGGGTCTCTAGAAGGTGTACAGGGTTTTCATTTCAATAATCTGCAGAGTAGAAAGATGCGTGCAGTTTTAGTTGATTTCTCAGAACACGACTAGTGCGTTCATGTTACAAACTAAGGTTCCAATCCGACCAGGTCCAGCTCCTGAATCCTTACTGATTTTGGACTACTAATTCTGCGGAGAAATTCTTTTACGATGTTAGGCACTGGCATCGAATTGCAAAATAAGATCACACACTAACGGCGAACCGAACGACGATGACGAAAAGACCTTTGCGAAATTGTCATATTTCCCCCCAGCTAGAGAAGTCATAACCACGCAACTTTTCCAGAAGGGGGACAAAAGAAGAGGAGAGGAGATGCTATGGTTTCGCATGATCTGGCTTAATTTATTTTATGAGATGCAGATGCGCAGACAAATTTCTGCAATTGAGGGAGATAAACTAGTGGAATTGCATCGACCATACTAAACAAAGATATAGCTTAGTATAATTAAGCAACTATAGTGCAAGAAGAAGTTTCAAGGAATACTACAACCCAGGGACTTGTGTAACCGGTATGCACCTATTTCTGTGCGAACAACCCCGTGCATTCATCTGCTTTTCTTGGAAACAATCCGTGTCATGGAGGGGAGCCGAAGAAATCGACTTCTCACAACATGCTGTCTGATCTCGCAGGCAGCCTCCGGAAGAAATTGAGGGGGACCGAAGGCAACTTGTGCCGGAATCTGGGATGCCTCAACACATAGAATATAAGAAGCAGTGCCACAACTTGGAAAGGGGTGACGTACAGAACGATTGCAGCAACTAAACAGAAGGTCACGAAAAGAGTAGTTGCTCTCGGGTCTCTCCAGCTCAGAAGAGACTGAAACCTTTCACCTTGAGTTGCCAAGTCACCGACCACCATTTGAACCCTTCCTGCTATGCTTCTGAGACGATCATACCTCATCCTAACAATATCTGATGCTTTGGAAGTGGGGAACGAATCGAACTCTTCGTCGAGCTCATCGGGATGAACCGCATCTGCATGAGACAGTCGAATATCCATGTGAGGAGGGTGTCTTGGCCGCCAACGGTAATTCCAAATCCCAATGATGAATAGGTAGAGAAAAATCGTGGGAAGTATCAATTCCGGGTAAAGCACCAAGATGATGAACAAAATGTGGATTAAGATGGTAGTGAGCGGGTTCTTCCAATTGCAGATCTGATCGAACCACTTCCCAACCACAATCAAACCCCTCAGGACACCCATGATTCTGAAGAAATTGGCCTTGCTCCTCCTCATATTCCACATGTGTGAGTCTACATCGAGCATAAACTCCACCACCTCTCTTCTTAGTGGTGGCTCAGCCCGGCTCAGCCTCATCGACACTATCTGCATCGCCTGGTGTCTCAAGCTATCGAGCTGGATTACAGATAAAGGGTGGACGTAGTGCATTTTTGGTAATAATGGATGCGAGTACATGTGCAACATATTTATTAATGAAGAGCATGTGAACCTCACGGCCAATTGAACCTCGCCCATCTTCTTCACCCCCGAAGGATGTAGAACCAGAAGGGGGTAGGAGTGTGTGTAAATTCTATCAGCTTCGAGCGTGGACAGTCGAATCCTGACCTTGCCAATTCTTGAATCTTTTCCACCTCCACCTTTATCTCCTCCTCCATGGATATGGCCATTATCGAAAACCCCTATGGTGATCACGGTGCATACGTCAAAAACCTCCCAAGTGTATTGCTCATTCCACCGAGGACTAAAGCTGTCGACAATTGTTCGTGTCCTCACCCATTTCTGCCCGTATTTAGCTACACAATAAGCATCCGTACTCCCTCTTCCATCTCTCGATTTCGCTGGGATGAGCCCCTGAGCACTTAGAATCCCTAGTTCAAGAATCCCAATGCTGGACTTCCACAACTGTTTTGCCGTCGGCCTAAGATCGCTGCTGTGGTGTGTTGATTCATCTAAAACATGATATCCACCATCCAAACATAGCCTCAAATGGATCCTGCTCGCGAACTTGATCTCCTTCTTCTGTTCTCCCTCTCCTATGTGCTTCTCCAGATTATACCACCTTGTGTTAACAGGCTTATGGTCCAGCCTCCTCTGCACGTTTTGCAGCGGGATCATGCACCTCCCAAGCACTTCATCTTTGTTTCCCGCCAGTCTATCTTCTACAGTAAGAATCAAGGGCTCCTCAAATGGTTCGGCGACCACGAACAACAAATCTTCATTCCACATTGGGTTTATAGACTTGCTTTGAGATATTTTAGTTCTTAAAGCCTGGTTTCCAAGGATCGCCTTCACAAAAACTTCAGGATACCTACTTTTGTCACTAGGTACCAAATCCTGAGCTTCTATGACATTGACCCTTACATACCAGAGCTTTGGGGACAAATAAACCTTAGACCGAATATGCGAAACTGTATGGCCTGCAACTGCTGCTGCATCTGAGTGCCAAGCATCCGGAAATGCCTCATCGGCTTGTGTTCCCATCCAAACGGCAAGCATTAGTTCTCCCTTTACCTTCTCCCCTTTTCGGTCTTCCAATCTATACCACTGAGGAGCCAATGGGCTATCAGGCGGAACACGTTTAGGAATTTCATTGATGTCAAAACTTAACCTTCCCATGAAATCATCGAGCACGACGTCCTTATCCTTCACCACCACCTCCATGATTGATGCTTGAATCCTCTCTTTTGAGAAAGCAAACACCTGGTTCCACTCTGGGTTCGACTTCTTCTCGAAGTGCCGAGTGACTCCCTTATAGTTTCCGAGTTTTACCTCGACATAGGGGTCACAACTACCAGTTACGTCCTTCCCTGGTAACTCCTTGGCTTTGACGACCCGTACATAGAGGTACTGCATTTGCTCAACGAGGTCATAGGTGCAGGCGAGCTTGTCAGCAGGCGTGACTGCTCCAGCACCAATGTTTGGTGAAGTCTCTCTTAGGGCAAAATCTTGGGGTTGAGGAGGTTTCTGCATTTTTCTGATTTATGGTAATGAAGCCCAAAGAGTTCGGTTATGAATTGGTTCAGGAAAAAAATAAAAACAAAAGCCGAGGATCTGAGCTCGAGATAAACAGAGAAGGTATCAGTATTTGGGCAATGCTTTAAAGAGCTTTTGACAAGGTAACTTGATGCCGTTCCGTCGGTTTGGTCCTTTAAACCACAGTTTAAGCGATTCCAGCTTCAAGTATGCGTTAGCAAGATAGACAAATCGGTTTTTCAATGTCTCTAAGGCAAAAGTACGGAGCTGCACATAGCTTTACCAACCGTAGATTTGAATGATTGATCTAGAATCAGCTTAAAGAGACCAAAAAGAGGCCAAAGAAAGACGATCGGAACCTTATGACTCGCTGACGCCGAAAAACCGAAGCCCCTCTTCGTGATAGTTTCAGGCAAGAACAATCAAAACCCTGCGAAAGGAAACAGAGGAACATTAAAGTTATAGCCACCACCAGCCAAATACACCATCAACTTTCTTCTTCGCAGATCAGTTGGGGAGCTACAACAAACAAGGACACTAAAGTTTCAAGCCTTAGCCCCGAATACTGCAGGGGTAAGACGTAAACTAGTACCAGGTTTCAGCTGACCTGATTCTTGAACGGCCCTGAAGACCCCGCAACGAATGAGGTTATAAGAGTGAATAAATTTTTTTTTAGCTTCATCACGAAACCGCATGGACACACCAACGGAGAGGTTACAGTGACTAGTAATTAATAGCTACATTCAGTTTTACTTTTTGCAGGACAAATCGAAAACCCAAAAGGAAGAGGCTGGCGAAGGAACCCAACGAAAAGCCAACTAAAACAGGGAAGCAGAGTAGCCACAGCAAAGCTCAACGTTCAAACCACGTAACAAAAAACCAGAGAAAAGAAACGCCGCATTTCCGAAGGAAACAACACTTTTGCCCCACATTTCAACAACTACTCGAACCAACTCGTAAAGAGTCCACAAGAAACGGAGAGAGAGAGAGAGAGAGAGAGACAGAGAGAGAGAGCTAACGTTTGGCGCAGAGGAAGGAGAGGAGCTCCTGAGGATGTCAGAATGGGGGAAAAGATGGGGGACTTTTTGATCAATGAATGGGAAATGGAGCAAACGGAAAAGAACGAGGTCGAGGCTGGAGAGTGGATTTCTTCATATAAGGAAAAACAGAGTTCACCACAAACCAACTACATTCTTTTGTTTCTGCCTTTTCTTTTACGTTTTCGCCGTGGCTCTTGGGGGGAACGTACTTGGGAACCCGAGCCACACGTATGGTCGGTCTCTGGCACGTGCGGGACGGGGGGTGTGTGCGCGTGTGTGTTTTTGTTATGGGAACTGGTCAAGGCTTCGTGTACTGTTTCCTCGGATGGTGAAAAGAAAAAACGACAACCCCATTTTCGATTTCCAGGTCCTTGTTTCTCTCCATTCTCTCTCTCTCTTCCCAATTTCGATAATTTCGCTTTTCGAACTCTCTGTTTTTTTTTTTTTGGTTAGAATTTTCGTTACTCTCTTTGTTAGAAAGGCGAGCGTAAAATGATATGAGTGGCTGATAGGCAATTTATATGTTTAGAAAAATCAGTCGTTAATGGAATGGTTATACATATCAGATTAAATTTCTTTAGGGGCCCGTTTCTTTTCTAGTTGGGAGTTTGTTATTATGTCACCATCAATCACCACTTGTAAAATGATCCCTAATCATGACGGAAAACAAGCTACTACATCAGTTTTAGGCCAACAACATCAAACTAGAAAGTCAAGAGACACGAACCCTGAATTCAAGATGGTTCAGATTTAAAAAATAAAAAACACTATCGCACGATCCTCGTGGAGCATGCTTAGACGAGGCTTTTTTTTGATGGCACGCGACATTATTTTATCCGTCTGACTCAAAGGAAATAGAAATAATAACCTAATTAACTGATCGCCCAGCTAACTTCTTAACCAACATATCATCCCTTCATTCTATTTTGTAACAAAAAGAAATCCAATGTGTTGTACTGCCATACCGATCAGTGGCGTAGTTAATCCCTTCATAAGGGCAACCGCGCTCCTGTTTAGGAGGACGAGCAATAGCGAGTAGTACTTTTCGAGTGAGCAAGTGAAGGCGGAAACCTCGAAGGATCGTAGGGTAGGTTATGGAATGAGATCGAACATACATAATTGAACCGGTCAAGATCACTCTCAAGTTTTCTTTATAGCTGCCGTGATTCTCAAGCCAATTAGACGAGTGAGGCATTCGCCACAGCTAAGACTCCATTTCAGCGCTCCAATGCCTGATCGGACAGAGACCGCCGGGCGACGGCACCGACAGAGATGGTTAATGCGTGCACTTTTTCCCCCACGGCCTTTATTTCGACCTCCTTTTTCTCAACCGAAATAGATCGCCTTCTTTTCAGAGATCGATTGCTTTCTGGGCAGAAATGCTGAAAGCAACGTGTGACGTGGGTGTGTTCATACAATCAGTGATAGGTGGGGGTTTGATGGGAACATGTAAATTGTGCTTCTGCTTTCAAACAAAAATGGGCAGTTGACGGAGTAATTGGGGGGGCGTTATAGGTGTTAGGTGTATGGTTGTTCAGGAGCTCACCCTCTTTCTTCTCTACTTTCTCTCTAATCCATACACCGTCAAGTTTCAACCAATCTCTCAGTAAACACAGCTATTAGAGCGTGATCCTGGGGCAATACGAGTCGAATCTATGCCAAGAATATTCTGATTGGAAACATCTTTCACAATCCCTGAAGAGAGAGTTCACTAATTCGAATTGAAGGGTAATAAAAAAACGGTCTATATCTGGCATCATATGCAAAACTTCTATCGTGACCGTTTGCAAAGTTGAAACCTCAGGCACCATCTCAGCAACTAAACCCGCATCTAAAATCCCCAACAAGACACGAAGAAGGACAGACAAGGCATTGACAAAACTGGCATGAAACGAAAAGCATGATGTCAATTCGCAGAATGAATTTCGTGGCCGCGTCTTGTAAGTCATCACCCAACCTAACCTACGATGTTAGAGTGAACAGCTTAAAAGCCGCCAGAACTCCTAATTCCTACGCCAAGAAGAAATATCAAGAAGATATTTCTCTTGCGGTTGAGCATAGCCGCTCCCTTGATGGCAAGTCGACATCCCATGCAAAATGAATGAATTACAGCACCGATTTGTAAGAATGTTGAACTCTCTTGTGTGATTCAGATGAGGATTAGATTAATTGAAAGCTAAAGCAGAAGATGAAGAAAGTAAGTAAATCCCAAAGCAATGTAAATTATGACACAAATTAGTAATGAGGAAAACTACTGTCTATGGTTTTGCAGCACAGACAGTTGCTACCACCATAAAAAGCAAGAATGCATTTTGATGATAGATGATTTTGGTTAAGCATTTTAGCAATGGGCAACTATATACTTTCCCATCAAAATTTCACTTATTACCAAATTTCAAACAACTATGTAAATACTATATGCGAATTTACGTGTCAATATTAGTATATTGCGAAAGTTTTGGATTAAAAAAATGGTAAGAAAGCGTCCATCACACAATTTAGATTAAGCAAAAGCAAAAAGTAAAAGTCTATCTAGACACGTCTTGATGGATCTTTTACAACATCATCCTTTACTTTAATTAATGGATTTGGTCTGCAGCTGGTTTGGGGATGGTTAGGAGAGCAACCTATGTTCTGTTAACGTTGTTTGAAACTTTCTGCTGCTATGTATGGCAGATCAGAAGTATGAAGCGAAATAATACAATCTAGGAATATGATGAGTGCAACCACTCTTGTATAGCCTATAACTGGAAATGTATCTATAATTTAAGCAGACAATTGCATCGTGCATTTGGTGTATTACTTAAAAAAATGCAAAACTGTCACAAAAGTCAGAGTACATATGGATAAACAGCAAAAACGAGAACCATACCTTGCTTGATTTCAAGAAAACAAAGCATCCTCAACCATTTACATAAAGTAGCTGTTTAGGATAAACCGCATTCTTCACACTTGGCAAGGTAGAACATATATCAGACACATTATCCAGATTCCACAAGCTTATGCAGGGACCAATCTTCAAAGGGTCCAGCATATGCCATTAATAGTTCTGTCACTATCACAACAGCATTTTGCAAGTTGAACAATCATACGCGGTCTTCTTTAGTTTTCACATGATTTAACAAAAAAGACAGCCAGTTTTTTCAAGTTACTTGATCAAACATTTTAACAGAAATATTCATGTGTCTCATTGTCCGTTTATTTTTTATTTTTTTATATCACTATTTTGACTGGAATATAAAGCCCAAACAATGAATAGCGGTAGATATCTTTATAACGTACTCTCTTTTTCTTTGACAAATAAGACAGCAGTCGTCGGCGTTTTAAATCTACTCACGTTTTGGTGTGTTACTCCAGCAATCATTTTCTTCAAATTCAAGTAGCAGACTGAATAACCATTACACCAGCAATAGATTTACCTTCTCTTTCCCTCTCTTTTTCCTTTAAGGTGCATTTTCTATGGCTATATCGTTCAATGATTACATTAAGGACAAGCCAGAAATTAATTAATGGCAAATAAACCATAAATATAGTGTAAGCTTGAAGAGGTTTGTTGACCAAGCATCTAGAAAATATAGTGTAAGCTTGAAGAGCTGCCCCTTCAAAATGTGCTATAAGGGCAAACATAGATTAAATATCTCGGCTTATACCGAGGGACATAGCAACCATCATGGTCAAAATACTATAATCCTGTACATATCCAACAAATGGCAGGAAGAATCAAATTTTACCGGATCAGCCTGAAGCAGAAGATTGAATTACTGAACTCAATGAAGTCACTTTTGGCGTCTAAAGACTGTATATAGATAGCTTCTCTGGGCTCCTCACTAACTCCGCTCTGTGTGGCAAACTCCAAAGCCATTTCATAATCCACCTGCACACAGGGTAACTCCGATTCATATATCTGCTGCTATTACAAGGGTCTCACATCAAAACTAAGAACATTTAAATATAAGTTTCTCAAAAGGTGGATATTTGAGAATCTTTTAATCATCAAAGCCTTTCCCTTCCTAGAAAGTATAGCCTTCTCGGGTACTCAGGCTAGACTGGCTAAGCTAGATTAATAGAGTTGCACTGAATCAACAGCTGCTTACTTTGGAAGACCAAATTTCAATTTGAAAAAGGCCTGATCAGATTAAAGTAAGCAAGGATTCCACATCTATGTCTTCCTAGATATAGGGTATCATGGGCATAAAAGCATTCCTTAGATTTCAAATGTTGCCTGTCAAAATTTTCGGACGCTAGATTAGTTAGAGATTGTTGACAGAGAATTGGCACAAAAGAAGAGCCGTTTTACCACACATCCCTAACAGATTCGTCTTGTGAAACTTCTATTTTGTATTCACGCATGAAGTAAAGAATGTAATAGAACATTTAAAGTCCAAATTTACAGGAGGCCTCAGGCCTCCACTTATGGACCTGTTGGTATGACAGAAAAACACAAGCATTGATGCCGATCCTATCACCGCAAAAATAATACATCCACATTCCACATCCATCAGCTGTCCTCTCAATTAAAGCACTTCCACATTATCGTCATCAACCTTAAAAATACTTGACAAGCACATTGAAATGGATTACCTGTTCAACATGTTGAGATAGTTTCTCCGTGAGCGTATCTTTTGTAATTAAACGAGCTGATACTTTGTTTAGTAAATTGGCATCCTCATCCTCGTAACGTTTCTTCTTCAAAGCATGAGATTGTGCCATTTCTTTCAGAACATCATACACCGCTCCAGCAGCATTAGGTATGTACCTGCCAGATTATCTTACACTATTCATTGGCAGTAGATCATGACAAAAATTTTAGAGCTCTGAACAGATAGTAGGCTTACTTGCTTAAGTTTCTTTTTCTCTCTTGTTGCTCACGTGCCTGCATTTTCTTTACTATTTTACTTTTAAGCTGGATGCAGCATTGTTGAATGGCATACTGGAGGATTAAAATTGTTAGACAATCTGTTCAGATTCCAAATAACGATTCTTGCAAGAAGAAATCCTACTCACCTTAACAGCAGTAGCAATTTCGGTAATATCATCTCCAATATATTCCTTCCCTGTCCCTTTGAAGGGGATTTTTGTGCTGACAATGCTCACAAAGACTCCAATTTTATCTTGCATCTGGTTTATCTTGTAACTACTCCAGCTGCGAAAATTTTTCAATAAGAGTTTTCCTCGATGGACTCAAAAGGTTCAAATTCCAGTATAAATCAATGTCACCCTATAAATAAAACAGAGGTAAAGATTGGGATCTCGATCTTATCCTCACTTGATTCTCTTGAGAGCTGTTCTGGTCACTACATCAGCACCTTGTTCAAAAAGAAGTGGGATCCGGTTTGCAAACCGAAATATGTTCAACCCCTAAACAAGCAGTCAGACAAAAGTGAAGAAATAGAATGAAGAATCATACATTAACTAACATATCTTCAGGCAGAATAATTCAATATCAAGTCTGTGACAAGATTTAACAGCAAAATCTTAGCAAGGGAAACAATAAAGGAGAAGACAACAGTTTTAGAGCAAAGTGATGACACAGGTAAATGATAACTGTATTGTCTTATTCCAAGTAGAGGTATAATGGAAACTTAATAGACATATGTCTGTTACCGGTAATCAAACCACGCACAACGTAGCAAAGGAACACATAGTGAGGCTGGGCTTTCATTACCAAAAAAGGAGATGAAAAAATGAAGTGATTTGTACATGTCTTATCAGTCAAAAACAACTTTTGGCTAGCAAATACTATTTTGATTATAACGAACAGCAGTAGAGAACATATTTAAAAGGCATAGCATAATCACAGATCAGGACCAGCGTCCATCTGAACCATCTGATAATGTACCCTATGATCAAAATAACATGGACTTGGCTATATCAAGTAGCATTTTACCTTTTTGAATGCCTCAAACAATCCTATGAGATTTAAACAAGCAATCAGAGGATAACCAAAATTAATATGGAAACACTTACTTGTTTGACATCTTTTCCACCTAAACTGACACCAGCTTCTACAATAAATGGGTGACCTTCAAAAACCTGGGCACTGTGTCATAAGCATAGAAGTCAAACTGGTGAAAAATCCAAGCTGAACGTTACCACTACTACTAACTTATAACTGTACTTCTTCGATGCAATTTACTTTTGCCATTTCACATTTATTAGTATCAACAAAAATATATACACTGATCCAAAGAACTTCAGACAGTCAAAAACAACCTGCCGGAATAAGTTGCTACCATGTCTGGATGCAGTTCCTTTATAATTCCAAGGCGAAGATTATACTCGCCTGCAGGACTAAGACACTGAAGGTGGTTTGAGTCAGACAAAAATCATCTACCATGACAATAGTGAACATGCATATAAAGGTTCAGGAAAGGTGAAGCTGTTATGCAAAAGCTTGCAGTGCAAAAAATATTGAAAAATCGAGAAGCAAAAGAGCAGTATAGGAAGTTACGTGGTTAGGTCACTAGCCAAATTTCCATGGGCAAACAAGGAGCACAAGTTCACTTGTTAAATTTGGAGTACATAGAGACTGATCTTTAGATGTGGTTTTTTTTTTTCGGTCAAAATCTTTAGATGTAGTTTAAAGCAATCGACATCATTAAAAGCTTACATCCCCAGTAGGATCTTCAAACTTCGCTTGCCGAAACAGTTGATGGATGCGGACAATTTGCTGATCTGTTAGAGACTTGATCAGCATTTTGGGCTGGAATTCAGGGCCCATTTCGCCTGAAAATATATTAATTTTTGTTTTGTAAGAAACAAGTGGCTCAAATAAACACCCTGAGACTATTAAGGCAGAAAGGAAGTCAGTTCCTGGAAAAAAAGTGAAGACTAGAGATACTTGCATTTAGAACAACAGGGAATCATTATCAGACGAAGTTAAAATGGTGTTTCTTCCCATAAACTAATCATTAGCTTGCTTTTACTCTTACCGATCAAACGCTCAGCATGTGCTTTGCTGATATTTACAAATTCATGCTGAAGAAACTGCAGAAGGTTCTGTTTCGAAGTTTCTGTAATAAGTCGTTTAATAAGGAGCAAATCAACAGATGATGGATGATGCTTTGTCTCCAGTGGAACAGGGGGCATAACATCAGTTCTCCGGGCAAATTTTATAGTCATGCTTTTACTGCAGAAACGGAAGAAAGTCACATTTATACATTAACAGTTAGTTGAGTGTGTGTATGTGTGCATGTGCATGTGTGCGCTTGTCGAGTCTGTGCCGCAGAGCATGAGAGAGAGAGAGAGAGAGAGAGAGAGAGAGAGAGAGAGAGTTACTCAGATGTATCTGATACAAATTTGAAAACGAATTGAGCATACGGGGTAATCACAGCCATTTGCCGCATATAATGCAAAATCTTTGACTGCAAAGTCAACAATAGTGTTATTTTACTCCTTTTGATCTGTGGACTTGTAAGCTGATGAAAATAAGTATACCGAACAAGCACAACTAAGGGTTGCCAAGAGAGAAGTAAACAGAATTCTGACATTGACACAGATCAACTATATAAGAACATACACGGTAGGTTGTCCAATTTCCCTCAATCACAACTTGAATTTCAGCCCCGTGCCACTCTTCCTTTTTCTCTAGTTTTTCATGTACATGAATGTGAGGTATGTTCCTGGCATGCAAAGAGAAAACATTGCTCAGTATTTTTGCACAATCAGTTGAAATAATATTTTGGGCTCTGCTTATAGGCATATGCCACCATGGATGATTGAAAAGGTCACTTGATTTGAAGAACCTACAGAATTTTTAACCACTTGAAATCCACAAAGGAGGCGCGTCATTAAATAATAAATCAAGTAGAAATTGCAATATCCCTATACCCTTTTGAATTTTTAACAAACCTCCTATCTTTAAAGCAAATATCATGGTCTTAGTAGATATTTTTGGTGAATAGACCTTGCAATGCTTCCATAAATCCTTGATTGCATACATGTGTAAGCTAAGTTCACCAAAAAACTTCAACTTGTGTGAAGACATATTTCATAACATGCTTTTCCAGTGAAACTTCTATCTTTGCCCAAACACAAGTCATACCGGTGAATATCAATATCCAGCCTGCAGTATGACACATAATTTTGGCCTCTCATTGATGATGAGATATCTATAGGAAGCCCTGTACTCATTTTGGACCAAATCAGCGCCTGCAAGACCAACGCATATAACCTTGTCAATCAAGTTCTATAAACGTGAAGGCATGACCGAAACATCCCATAACGTTACTTTTGAATTCAGCTTCTTCATATTTTCCATTCATTTCTATGCTACACCACCATGAAACAATACCTGCAATTTAATCATTTTGAATGGTGGTTATATAGATAGGTATATTGGCATTTAGCTTACAGAGAGTAGGCAGCAATCTTTATGCAGTCTTTAAGTTTAAACTAATGCTAATCTATGTAAAAGATGGTCCCAAATTTTAAACTCTGGAATTACAGATATAAATAACTCAATTTATGTCAGATCAGTGAACAACATAGCTAAACTACTAGGCAGATGAAGATTGGGTATGTCAGTTTTCAAATCCAATCTATTAACAAAATTACAATATTACCATTTTTGCACCAAGACCAAACTTTCCACGTGTCTGTCTCAAGCCATACTTTGTTCCAGACAGAACTGCATAGAAAAGAACAGCTTATAGAAAGTTTAAGGGCGTGTGTGAATCAGACCTAAAACCACAACCAGACACACAGACTGACAGACATACACAAGCGTCTTTCAAATAAAAATAAAGCTAGAAGAAGGTTTACAACCTCGTCCAAACATATTTGGGATGTCATCATGTGGCATTCCTCTTCCATTGTCCTATAAGAGATATTGATAAGCAAGAAACGCCATTTCAGTAAGTGTCACCTTTTGATAAAATAAATCAAAAGTAGATAATGCAAATAAAAATGACTTCGAGGTGACGAAGCTTTAGATGATATTTAGGTCAGACCTTGCATGTCACCCTGTAAAATGAAGCCTCTCCTCGACCCTTCATTTTTGCTGGTGTAGCCTCCTTGACTTTCTTCCCAAGGGCAGCATTCTTTGCTTGAATTTCCTGGTTTCTAGCTTCCTTAGCTAATCTTTTCTGAATGACATGAAGAACTTAAAAGATTCAATCAATAGAAAAGGAATCAAAATTAGTTTTTTTGATAATTCAGACTTTGATCCTAAATGTTTATTCACACAAATAAATGCAGTCAGGAAGGTTTCCAGGGAAAAGAACCATCCAAACTGGAATTCACAGAAACAGCTGAAACTCAGATGTAAACATCAGACTAAGTTCAAGGATTGCTAATGGAAGTCAAAGCAAACATGATAGAAGCATACCCACCTCACGAGCCTTGGCAGTCTCATAGTCATCATAAAGTGCCTCGTCAACACGTTCTCGATCAACGAGACCGATCATAGAGTTAAACTTGACTTTCCCTATCTCTTCACTTAAACAATCAATAATTCAGAAACGGACAGAGCATCGATATACAAACACCAGAAAAGGAACAAGTATCATGCGCATGAGGTTGAAGAAGGCGTGGACGTTCGAGACTTATTGCACGTAATTTTCCAGTAAGCCAATACATGAGATGAGAATACCAAATTACCCATCAATTCAATAGGCACGGAAACTCAGCGCTTACATTGTTATCTCCACAGCAGGAAGCTCAGAGATGGACTCCGCCGAATCGAGCGAATTCTCGACAAGCTCTCTCACGGTAGTGTAGAGGGATTTCCCAGGCTGCAGATAAGTCCAGCACTCGTTAGAGGCCGGAGGACTTTCTGCTGGTAAATATATCAAACAGGTAGGAGACGAAAACCGAAACCGAAACCAGGAAACCAGACGAACAAAACTCACGTTGTCAAAACCAGCGATGTTCTTATTCTCCGCGAAGAACTCCGCCGGAGATTCTGCAATCAGCAAGACAGTTCCTCAAAAACACATCATCCACAACAACAACCCGCTCTCCGGCGCACCGAACGTCCCGAAAAGAGCACAGATCGCGCGCGTCCAAGAGGATGCCCAAACTCGAGCTGAGGAAAAAGAAGGAAGAAGAGAGAACGAACTCTGCTTGAGGACGCTGTCCTTGGCCTTCCTCGGGGCCTTCGATTTGCCCCTCTTCGGTTGGCCGGCGGGGCTCCCGCTCCCGCTGCCGCCGCCCGCCTCCATCGCAAACCGCGACCCCCTTCCGAGCCCGATCCGAACAGGCGCGGGTCCTTCAACCGGCGCGGACGGAGCTGGCGAACCGCGAGGTTCTTTCGAGATCCCAAGCGGGAGCGAGCGAGGCTGTGCAGAGCTGAGCTAGGGCTAGCATCTGCCGGTTGCCATGGGGGCGGCGATGGCGGCTTCGCATTCGCCGCAATAGCCGAGCGACAGAGTTGGTTTTGGAGGAGGACGAAGGTTATGACGAAGGCGATGGCGTCGAGTCAACAGAAGAAGGTAACGGCTTGAGCGAGCTCCGGGGGAGGGCTCTGGTGCGGTGTTTAACGGGAGAAGGAGCGAGGTCAAGGTCGGAGATGACATGTTCCCGCCATTTTCTTTTCTCGGGGGTTGTTGTTTTTCTCGCGTTTTCCCGGAAAACGGAATCCCAGCGCGCAGGGAAGGGCCGACCCCTAGGCTGGGCCTCTTGGCTGGGCGTGGCGACTGAGCCCAACGGGCTAGTTGGGCCCGCAAACGTCACGATTGAGCCCAACCAACTGAGCCCAACCGTCGTATTGGGCCCACAATATCAGGAGTGGACTGTTCCAAGTTCGGAGTAGTCTTGATGAAGCCGGCTTCACCCTTATTAAAAATATCAAAGTGGTTTCGTTTTTTTACCATTATTTTTTATTTTTAGTAACCTCATAAGTTTCTTCTGCTATATCTTTTCTTGGTTGCATTTGGCATTGCTATTTTTATATAATATTCTAATCTTAGTTCTTGTCATTGCTAATCCACGGTCAACATAAATCATCTTCTTCGGTATCTTACATTTCATTTAATCAAAATTTCAATTCCTCTACGTTATTTGTCGCTGTAATTTCATAAATCCACTACCAAATTACCAACTTTATCTTATTCATCATTGCGAATCAATACAAAAATTGAAAAATTTATGCAATGTTGAAAGTCAATTCTTTGGCATCTTATAGTCGAAATAGCGATTTTAACTACATGAAGAGCTTAACTAGGTTAACTGGATGGATATGGATTTTCATGGGTTAGATTAAATATGAAAGTATTTTAGTAAATGGGTTAGATACGAGTATGGGTCACTAAATTTTTATATTGCATATAAATGGATCAATTTGGGTCGGACCATTTTCGACCCAAATCAAACCCGACCAGACCTACCCATTTGACGGCCCTAATCACGACTAAGCCACGAGAAAGTTCATTCTACGACTGTAATAAGACATCCAACATCATTCGAAAAGTGATCGATTTTTCCTCTCCTTATTTCGATCAACTTGGTCACTGTATTTCTAACATCACTTTCAAGCAAACAGTCTTAGGAAACACTCAAATGAAAATGGGATTTGGATCCGCTTATTCGTTTGAAACAAGTCACGCAGGGCTCCCAATTACTTGCAAAGACAATCTCAGATATCAATGCTTGTTGAGAAAGCTCTTGAACCAAATGGACGAGTGCTTGGGATATCTCTTCAATCCGTTCTTGTAATCCACGTAGTTGATGCCGAACCGGACGGTGTAGCCCGAGCCCCACTCGAAGTTGTCCAGCAACGACCATGCGAAGTAACCCTTCACGTTCACTCCGTCCCTAACCATACGTCGGATCCATGCAACCATTATTCGCATGTCATGCAAACTTGTGAAATTTGAGACATTGTGTAGAATTAGAAGGAAAATCTTGCTTGCAAAATTGCTTACTTAATTGCCTTCAGAAGGTACTGGAGATGGCGATAGTAGTAATCTATCCTCATAGGATCAGCCAGTTGTTGCTCCAACGGTAGTGTAGAGTTGTTGAACTCGTCGATTCCTGCGCGGTTGATCGAGAGCGAAGGAGAGAGATTGTTATTACTCGAAAAATGACATTGGCAAGGATTCATTTGGTTTAGGATCACAAATTCTAAGATGTTAGCTCACCATCATGCATAGAGTTGTAAAAACTTGGTTAGATATGTTGCTCCTTTAAAAATCTTGAGCTATGAACGACGGGTTCATAATGCATATCTATACTATATCATATATATTTCTTAGCAAATCATATCGGTTTGTGGCTTTCAAAACTATGTTATGGCCCACCTAATTAAGCCATGCAATGTACCTTTGTGACTGTGTAAGCAAATGAAGATTTTCTAGAGTTTGTAGGACTTTTCTCGATTTCTTTACCCATTTTGACACCTACCAACTCTTTCAGAAATTTACTAGCACGGCCAAAATTTTGGAACGGAACTGTTGAATCAGCCTTTAATCTTTTCAGATTGTTTAGTAAGCAAATTTTAGCGAGAAGTTGAACTGTACTTATTTTTCATGAAAGAGTCATCGTGAAAAAGTCCTCCGTACCGTTCTCGGTAATGTAGATGAGCGGGTTCTTGTACTTATTCTTAACATACAGCAACAGACTTCGTATCCCACTTGGATAAACCGATAGCCAACTTGAAGCAGCCTGCAAAAGTTAATTGCCATCTTAATCCACGATTGCGACAAAAATGAAAGATTGTAAGCAAATTAAAGAAGAATAGATTGGAGAAAAGAGTGTATATATACCACTGGGCCAATTGGTATACCGTTGCGCTCGCCTACATAGAAAAGGGCAACAAAAAAAAAGCATTGTCATGAGGATTTACTTAGATTGAGATCGCGCTATCATCATCGTGTCACTGAATATCAACTATAACGGTTCAGTTCCTCACTTGTGAGATTGGTGAGAGCATCTGTTACGTAGCTCATGTTCTGAGCGTTCACAGAGTAATGCGCATACGCTGCGTAGAAGGCGGTGTAGTAGTTCAACCCGAGAAAATCGTATGACCCTTTCAACAGGAGCGATTGCTCCTTTGTGAACTTTGGCAGTCTATCTCCGACGAGGGATCGCATGCTGTGCGGGTAGTCTCCGTAGGTTATCGGGTCCAAGGACCTGGAAAGACGAGAGATCGAGCGAGTTAATATGCACAAGGGTTGGGAGCCTTTTGGTTCACTCCCTAGTCCTAGACTCCTAATGAATCAGACTAATTAACCACGAATAGAGAGAAGGAATCAATTCAATCACCATCCGAGCATGAAGTCCAAGGCTCTTTGGGCTGCATCGAGATTGTGCTTGGCGTCTGAGTAGGGCACAAACCAATGAGATGCCAATGTAATTCCGATCACCCCCTTTTGAGCTGCCTGCATGCAATCAAAGTCATTATGACATGTAATGACAATATAAACTAAAAACTTGCAAGTTCAATCAGCATCGAGGGTGCTCTCGTGCTGCAAAAGAGATTAACCTTTGAGAATTGAGAAATAATTTGAACCGACCGGACCAGAGCGAAGCGAGATCGTTAATGTAATTTATATTTTTCTCGGGTTTCTCGAAGAAAAAAAGATTTAGCATGATTGTGTGTGCACAAACGTATAAATTCCACGATTCAAAGAGTTTGGATCACCTGATACTTATCCCTGTACAATTTCACGGCGGCTGTGTGAGCAAGAAGTAGATTGTGGCCGACTATGTATGGTTCTGTGGCGGAATCGCCGCCGGTGCAGTTCAGTTGCTGCCAGGCCGAGCATCGGCCGGGAGCCAAACTCCCGAGCACATAGCCCCCGTCGGAGAAAGTCCACGGCTCGTTCAGGGTTATCCAATGCTTGACCCGGTCGCCGAACTCCTCAAAACATACATCAGCAAAGTCCCGAAAATGGTCCCTGCGTACACATGAGCAAAACAAAGATTGATCTTCGTAACCTCAAAAGAGGACGACACAGCCCACCTTCGGTGGAGTAAGAGACGCTGAGGTTGACAATCACTTACACAATCTTGGAGCTCAAGAAACCACCATACTCGTCTTCTAATGTTTGGGGAACGTCCCAGTGGAAAATCGTTACAAATGGCTTGATTCCTACATCGAATGGAGACGAATTTAGAAGGAAAAGAAGAAGAAAGTAATGCTCCTTTGAGACCAAAGGGTTTAGCACTTGGAGAGAGTGAAATGAGGTTGATACCATGGGCTAGGAGTTCATTGATAAGGAGGTTGTAGTATGCAATGCCTGCTCTGTTGATTCCTCCCTTGACCGTTCCTTCTGAAATCATCAATACAGCAAAGAATTGAAGTATTAATCATGCAAAAATAGACAAACTTTGGGGCTCCAAGATGACAAGATTGGATGAGAAGAACAACTTACTGGGTAGTATCCTAGGCCACGAGATTGACAATCTGTAAGCATCCAAACCCATCTCCTTCATTATCCCAACATCTTCCTGTGCCACATAATGCGCGGAAAGATCAGATTTGGATCACATAAAGTAGCTTATTTAACAAAAGTTTTGTATAGATTGATCAACAGAATGAAAAGAGATTACCTTGTATTTGTGGTATTGATCTATAGCCACATCTCCGTTGCTTCCGTCCGCTATTTTTTCTAGTATAGTTCGCCGTACAAAAAACACACAAGGCCCGTGATAAAGGTACACATGAAAAAAAATAAAGATTGAAAGAGAAAATGAAATACCGAGTTAGCGTACATTTATTAAACATGGTTCTATTGATGGGATCGGCTGACGTTATATGGTAGAGTTCTAAAGAGATTGTACTTCAAAACACGACCCTTAGGATCGCAGCATGGAAAGTAGATTAGTACTCGGGGTGTGTGAAAATTGACTCGGACGCCAACCAAATACCATTCCAAAATACGAAAAACCACGGCCCTCAATCAAACTATATACATCATGGATAATTGTTTTAACCAATAAATACATGCCATTTTTATTTTCAATCCACTCATTGCTTTTTCCCATGTTAATACAGAATCCGAAGACCTATATATCGATTCTAACAATCGATCGTGAGACAAAACGATAGCAGAAACTGTGGTTTCTTTTGTTAGCTGTAAGAAAACAAAAAATGCCTTTGAGGCAACAACTTCTTAGTGTTCATCAGATTATAAACGACGTTGGCTTATTTTTTTTCTTTCGTTAAAAGTAAAATCATGGCGAGCTAACCACCCTTTGCAAGGCTTAAATCTTATATATAAGTACGTTATAAATTAGTCAAGCTGACGTACGGCGCAACATATAAGCATGTTAATAATAAAGAGTTATATACAAGAACACCACAGTCTCTGGCCGATTCCCTCGCGTTCTAAAAGTGTTGGTTGATTTTGCATAAGCTGAAATTACTTAGGAAATCAATTTCCAATTTTTTTTATATTCAAACAAGTGGTTGGAAATCAATTTATAAAACCGAATTTGACATCTCTAGCATTATTCAATCTCAAAACTATATAATATAAAACGAGAAAGAGACGACTTGAAAGCAATCAATTCATTTGCCCTTTTTGGTAATATTATATCCCTTAGAATAGGCAACTTGAATTTCAATGGAACCCAACTGGATGCTTTGTCTCCAGCATAGACGACAAGATCAAACTGAAGTCTGTGTTTAAGTATATGATCAAACCGAATATTCGCCTAAAATATCGCAAAAAATATTATTGATTGATATATAAATAATATTGGGACAGACTGGAGTGCATGATCACATTATATATAGTTGTCGACCATAGATCTAATAAGCATTTCAAGTCAGCATTAATGGATCCCCATAATGATTTCCTTGTCTTGATTTGTGAGTATACGCAAGATTTGGTTGACCTTGAAGATTGCGACATTTAATACCGCATGAAGCACGCGCAGCTGGACGACGTTTTATATGTTCTGAACATCTTCATTTCTCGTCTTGAAATAATATAGTCTGTACTGTCTAGAAAGGCAGAGATTTGACTTTGAGGAGCGGACTCTCATTAAATTGACCATTTCTATCATTCTCCATAACTTCTCTAAGTTCCACTTCGTCCTTGCACTTGCTTTATTTTGATATTTTTGCTAACATCTCAATTACTGACATAGTTTTACTGACACACGAGAATATAATTTCACACAAGCTGGGGGGATGGTGAGTTTAAACTAATCTTTTTTTTCAGCTGTGATCATACTTCATATAAAGTGCATCGAGGCCATTCGGCACGTGAAATACAATATTAAATGGGGCTATAAGGAAATGAAATTTATCTCCGATGCCGTATTCCACTTCGATATTATGCAAGAAACTCCCCCAAAAAGGAGTTGACATTAAATAATTTTACGAGTGAAAACATGGACTGAGATATTTTTGACATTGCCAATACTTTGGACCAACGGATGCTGCTGATAATTCGTATTAAAGAACAACTAGGGTTCATTTAGTGAGCATAAGAAAGAGGCACACACGCATGGTTTGATCAATTGATATATGTTCGATTTCCTACTGTGTCAAAGCTCATATCTGGGCCACACACGCATGCTCGAGCTCGCATTTTTGCCTTGTAATATAGTCCATTAGGTTAGTAGAAAGCATAAATATTCGAAATGCTCGGAACTTATCCGCTTAAGATGGGCTTTTTGTAGGTAAAAAATCAATACACACGCATCTTCTTTAATTTTGTCATGTGTTCAGAGACAAGCTCTTATGAACTGTTACTCCTTTTCCAATAAAAGCAACCACACTTCATTTTACGTTGCAGGGTCCAGAGAGTATCAAATCTCACGATGCCCTAACTTCATTTAGAAAAAGAAGAAGAATATGCAGCTTAGCTTATATGGCTATGATATGATCAGGAGTGCTGGATGTGTACCGGGATATTTGTGAGTGAAAGTATCCCAAATGCTTGGGCCCCTGCCGTCTATTTTGGCTGCACCTTCATACTTGTAAAAAAAGACAATAACAATAAAGCAAGAACGCATACATCAAACTCAAACTCACCTTCTCGTGGGCCATGAATAATCTAGCTGAAGGAAGCCAAAAAAGAAGAGCACAATGTTAGGATACCTGGTATGCCGAAGAGGCCGTCCCGAAGAGGAAACCGGAGGGGAAGCTACTCCGGTTGAATAATGCGGTGTCGTACTCAGGCTGAACTTTAGAAGCGTAAGCTGTGTTGCCGAGAAGAAGCATGAAGGCCAAGAGCACAAGCTCACTGTGAACCAGAAACGCCATGGCTGATTTATCCTTGTGGTCAGTAGCCTAAGCAAGCCAAGACAATGCCTTGCTTTTGCTTCTCATCCCCCCTCTCTCTCTATATATAATGAATGCAGTAAGAGAAATAAATTATGAAATGATCGTGTTGCTATGTTTTGGGCCATTCAATGATTATTATGTATTAATCCCCGTATTGTGATCTCGAGAAGCTGCAAGTTGGCGAACCCGTTGAACATGTTCCTATCTGTCTAACCCACCAACTGCCTTCTCAGTGTCTGTTCTATTCCCCAAGTCAGATCACAGGAAGGACCTATCAAAATAACTTGACTTGGTCTTGGAACAACGGCTAAGATATTGTCGTTATTCGCACAGTGGGGGCCAAAACAATTTTCTAGGGTCTGTGTAATGAGCACATTGAGCACATCATTCAATGTCTGTGTAATAAGCACATAGGGCCTTTCTAGTCTCTGTTCATGTGAGAGAGGATGACGAGCAACAGAAAACTCAACGGACAAACATTGAAAGAAAGTGAAGATTGAGGTTTTAAGGAAGATGGAAGCCCTAATTTGCAATGAGAGAGAGAGAGAGATTTGGGATTGGGCGTAGTGAGATTAAGAGACGAATAAGAGGAAGAGAGTGTGAGTGAAATGAGGTCATCGTTTGAGGAAGAGAGACAGAAAGAAACAATATCGTTTCTGTTAAAGAGAGAGAGAGACGACGGGTTGTATGGAAACGACGTCGTTTCTCTCCAAGTGGACAAAAATTTCCACGTTGGACTTTTGTCTATTTTTAAAAAATTCCACGTCGGAATGGAAAATTAAGTAAAAAATCCATGTATGACGATTTGTTGAAATTGACACTCAAATAAACGATTTTACTCTGATGTGGCACTTAAGTGAGCGAAAAAAAAAGTTATGACACTTTAGTGAGCGCCATACGAAAGTTATCTGCTGTTCTTATCCTAATAACAAACCCACTAGGAAGGACCAAACAATGAGATGCAAAGATCGAATCAAGAGTGGAATGATATATGGTAACTGTGAATTAGCATAGTGATCAATTATGCCACTTAGAATCGACAACTTTATCTTATGATCTGCAGGCAATTCTGGTTGAAGGGTACTGAAATCACATGCTCGTGCAGTCAGACGTGTAGATCATCGCTTATCAACTACTTATGTGTTAGGAATGACATTAATACGATAAGTCAAATTTTTGCATGTGCCCTTACAATATAAGCAGTTGGGCAATTAAAAAAGAATGGTGGGTTCAATGCTAACATAAATGGGACAAGAGAGCGGCTGCTGGGCCTAAGTTAACCTCACTTGAATCGGTCTTAAGCATAGTTACTTATACACCCAACTATATATTAAGTAGACAACCCAAATGAGTTGGAAAGGACGTGGGATGCCGTGTTGCTACGAACTAGTGACGATACTTAAATATTTTTGGTTTGGTTGGCCCTTGATTCTCGCTTTCGATGCGCTAGCAAATTAAGACTAAACTAATATTATAGAGCCGTATAATATCAAATAAACCCTAATTTGACTTGTTCACTCAAGGGCAAATTTTGTATATCGATGCTCGACTTGGATTTTTCTGATATAAAAAGCTCATTAGTTGCATTTTCTTTTTTGACCAATAGAAGAGTTTCGAGTGTAAGGACTCTTTTGAAGATGGCAATCCATCGTTTCAAACGATGGTAAGCATGAGTGAACGGAGTGATCGATATTAATTCAGTCGAATTCATATGGAATTCCGGCACCAGTTCATGAACATAAAATGCCATGATTGACACACTTTCTTTAGCATGGCTTTTAAAGATTTCAAATTCTTGTGTGAAAGAGAAGAAACTCCAAAATGAAGAAGCCAACAAAAAAATCCAAAAAAAGGAGATTCTACAAAAATAGAGATGACAATAAAGATCAGAATATCACATAAAACCCGACTGTCCTTTATTCAAGAAAAGGAAAGGAAAATTCGAAAAAGAAGAAGAAAGTCCTAAAGGCCTATGATGAGATTAATGAGAAAGGAAATCTATGTTTAATGGCGGACATTCAATTTGAAGAAGATGAGGTGATTTGCTTAGGTCCTGTTCTCGATGATGAAGATCTTTTTGAAGAGTTATGTGTGGAACATGAAAATGCACAAGCCGTTATGCATATGGTGTTCTAACAGGACATCTAAAGGTTATGAGTTCTCTATCAATGATGAATAAGGCATTGGGCGTAGAGGTGTCTACAAGCTAGATGTACCTGAGTAAAAGGTTAACAAGCCTAGAACAGGGAGTTCAGTAAAGTTTGGAGGTATAATAGATAGGTGAACAATGAGGTAAAGTAACAATTGCCAATATTCTTAGAAGGATTAGAAGATAGAAGCCAGAGTGAAAGTGATATACTTTGCCAATATCAAAGGTATCCGAAGTATGAAGTTAAAGATTGATGAAAACTGGAGAGACCTTTATGGAGGTGAATAAGTCATGAAGAACGGAAAGTTTGTGGAGACTTGGAGGTATCAATAAAAGTGAACAGTTTATACTGTCTTGGATCACTAAGAAACTAAGGAAGATCAATGGAAAGCAACTGGATATACTCGGGAAGTTTGATATAACCGGAGTCGGATATTAGCAGAAGTTTGCAGGAACTTGATATAAGCGGAAGCTTGCGGTGGCTTGATATAAACGAAATCTTGTGGGAGCCTGATATAAGCGGAAGCCTGAGATCTCTGGGACGCTTGATATAACTAGTGACTGTTGATAAAAGTGAATCATCTGCACTACTTGTGACCAACATCTTATTACGTGCTTCCAGCAGCTTGTGATATGACAGGATTATTTCTTACGATGGCAACTCTATTCGTGGCAGCTACAATATTACTAGAAGATCTGATTGTGTGGGACTAGATCTCCGGTGATTTAATTGTTTATCTTCAACAGCTAAATTGATCCTCTTGAAGATTATTCAACGGCTAGTTTGAAGATTGAAGACTATATAAGAAGATCAACCTATACAGAAGAAGATAGAACTACGAAATAGAGAAAGATTTATATTTTGATACAAACTGTGAGTGAGCTACAGAGAGTGCTTACGTTGAATGTAATATGAGTGGGGAGTGTACCGGTGTTGTAGTAGTGTTTGGGTGCGTGATAGTGTCATCTATTAGCTTTGGGTAGAAGCGCTTCAAGTAGAAGTAGCACGTGATACTGTGTAACTGCTAAAAAAATTACTAGTGAAATCCAGTGGTGCGCAATTAGTCTGGAAGAGTGGATGTAGGCTTACACCAAACCAAACCACTATAAGCTCTATGTGCATCATTTCCTATCCCTCTACTTATATTAATTTATTGTCTGATAGAACCGTACTGCACTACTTGATATAACCAGATCCTGCTTATATCGACTTTGTGTTTTACCTGGTTATACTTGTATCAAACTCTTAACACTTTTTATTCTTTAATTTTTTCGGTTAAGTTTCTTGAATTCACATGTTCACCCCTTCTAGGTGATACTGTTAGAACTAGTTAACTGCGAGGTTCTTTTGAGATCCGAGCGGGAGAGAATAAAGTTCAAATGGAGCAAGCGAGGTTGTGTAGAGCTAAGCTAGGGCTAGTATCTGCCAGTTGCCATGGGCAATGGCGGTTTCGCATTCGCTGTAACAACCGAAGTGAGAGTTGATTAAGGAGGAGGATGAAGATGATAATGAAGGCGATGATGTCAAGCCAACACAAGAAGGTGACGGCTTGAGCGAGCTCGGGGGCTTTGCGGGGTTAACGGGAGAAGGAGCAGGGTCAAGGTCGAGATGATATGTTCCCGTCATTTTCTTTCTTAGGGCGTTAATTTCTCGCGTTTTCCCGGAAAACGAAATTCAGTGCGTAGAAAAGGGTCGACCCTAGATTGGGCCTCTTAGCATGCCGTGACGAGTGAGCCCAACGAGAAAGTTCATTCTACTATTGTAAAAGACATCTGGCATCATGCGAAAAACGAATTTTCCTTTCTTTATTTTGATCGACTTGGTCACTATATCTATGATAGCACTTTCAAGCAAACAGTCTTAGGAAACGATCAAATGAAAATGGGATTTGGATCTGCTTATTCGTTCGATGCATATCACGCAGGAAATCACTTGCAAAGACGATCCAACATCAATGCTTGTTGAGGAAGCTCTTGAACCAAATGGACGAGTGCTTGGGATATCTCTTCAATCCGTTCTTGTAATCCACGTAGTTGATGCCGAAACGGACGGTGTATCCCGAGCCCCACTCGAAGTTGTCGAACAATGACCATGCGAAGTAACCCTTCACGTACACTCCGTCCCTGACCATACAACCGACCCAACCGTTATTCGCATGTAGTGCAAAGTTGCGAAATCTGAGACTTTGCGTTGAATTATGAGAAGAATCTTGCTTGAAATATTGCTTACTTGATTGCCTTCAGAGTGTACCGGAGATGACGATAGTAGTAATCTATCCTCACAGGATCAGCCAGTTGCTGCTCCAACGGTAGTGTCGAATTGCTGAACTCGTCGATTCCTGTGCGTTTGATCGAGAGTGACAGAGAGATTGTTATCCCTTGAGAAATGACATCGGCAAGGATTCATTTGGTTTAGGATCTCAAATTCTAAGATGTTAGCTCACCATTATGCATAGAGTTGTAAAAACGTGGTTAGACATGTTGCTTCTTTAAATATCTTTAAGCTATGAAAGACGGGTTTAAAATGTATACCTACTATATCATATATTCCTCAACAAATCATATTTACTTGTGGCTTCAAAACTAAGTTATGGCCCACCTAATTAAACCATGCAATTTACTTTTGTGATTGTCTATGAAGATTTTCTAGAGTTTCTAGTTTCCGATTTCTTTAACTAACTACTAGTTTGATTAGTGTTGATAAGTGTTAAAAAAACAAAAAAATAACCAGTGACAGATTGATAAATTCACATAGGAGTTGATATATTTAAAGCCTTGGTAAAAGAAAAACAAATCAAGTTAGTAAAAGATAATTAAAGCCGATAATTTGTAGACTTTAAAAAAG